TTGCAAGGGCAGGGGCCTGGGGAGGGGGTCTTGCAAGGGGAGGGGGCCTTGGAAAGGCCGGGTGGAAAACGCAGCCGGACCCCCACTCCTTTTGTAGGAATGAGGAAGGGGCTGAAAGGCCGCCTGGGTTTTCCCCTCTGAATATTCCTCTGTTTGTTTAAGGCCCGGGCTGGGAGGCTGCGCACGTCTGCACGGCGGCCGATAAGTCCGCGCAGTTCTGTCCCCGTAGCCCCGGGTCAGAGTCCTCCTCCTTCGCGCTAAAGGAGGGCCCGGCCCGCGAGGGGAGCGCTGGTGACGCGGAAGGAAGCGTCGGGGCAGCTTTGTAACGTGGGGAAAGGCCCTTTCCTGGAGAGAAGGGGGTTCAGGGGCAGGGTCTTTTGAAGGCGACCAGCAGAGGGTTGGTTTCCAAGCCCTCGCGTTGTTTCTCTTCTTAATGAAGACTGGCCCCCTCTGCAGGGTTGGCGTTGTTTGCTCTACAAACACTCCTTCTCTCTTCTTGGCACCTGCCCTATGGAATGGCCTTCCTCCCTCCCCCCCCCAAACTATAGGTCCCAAGATCTGGCTCTTCCCCCTGGTATCAGGGCCAGGATGTTTAGTGGAGCCCAATTGAGGTGCTTTTCTGTTGCGGGTTAATCATGCAACATCTTGTTTATAGTATTATGATTATTTTTCACCTTTTGTTCCGTTTATGAGGGTCTAAATGTGTTGCTTTCCTTGTGTGTTGGTTGTTTACCGCCCAGAATTATTCTGCACTGGCAGCCATTAAGCATTTTCTAAATAAATACATTTTTCTAGCAGCCACAAAGGCCTGAGCGGACTGGGATTTGCAGCCTCGCAGCCTCTCCTCTGGTCTATTCTGGCTTTTTACAGAAAGAGGGGAGGGAGGGAGTCTGCCTCCTGGCTTGCTAATAAGCAATATTGTGTGCTGGACCACCCCCATTTATTTTGGATTCCGTTTTAGGATCCCTGGTACCACCCCACCCACCCACCCATTCTGTTTCATGAATCTAATTTCCTGGGCGATCCTGCAAAATCCGAGGGTGGGCTTTCTGTCTCCCTGACAAAGACGTGATTTTGCGACAGTCCTGTCGGCACAAAACTCTCAGACTGTCAGAGAGGTGGGGAATCAGTTGGGTATGATGGAAAGGGTGGGCTGGGGGGCGGTAACCCTTGAGAGAGGCAGACCCTAGAGAGACTCTGTTGCTTTGCTAGCTGGTGCCTTATTTGATGGCGCCTATTGAGATCACTGCAGAGGGAGAAAAGCTACACGAATATCAAAGAAATGGTGGAACAGAATCATCAAAGAAAGAATGCAAAAGGAGGGACAGAATGAAGTGCGAATGACAAAAATCAAAACATTTTTTTATTTATTTTAAATAATTGAATTGTTAAATTGTCCTGCAGCCTGTTAGCCATGGCAAGTTATCCCACTCCGGGACCAGACCCATCCTTGAGCCACTGGCCTCACCCAAGAGGTGGCAGCTTCTAGGGTTTAGCCTAGAAAAGGTCATTTTTCCAGCTGCCCCCTTCCCAAAAAAATACCCTTTTCAAGGTTATCCAAGCCAGGGCATAAACAGAATTAAAACAATAATAAAAAAAGAAGAGCAGGGCTGTGGAACCTGGGATAGTGGCCATCCTAAAATAAGGATTCCTTTGATCCCGGGAGGAATGGGTCGGGGGGCCAGATGAGGTTCCCCTGTAAGAAACTGACCGCTGAAGGCAGAGTTTCTTGGCTGCATTCAGCTTGATGAGGGCATCAGAGTTCCTGGGCGGTGCATTCTGCACATGCTTAGGAGCCCTCTGCTTGAGGGCCCATGGGGTCTGGCCCATCCCTGCCTTGATTTCAGCCTTTGGAACTGGCTGGGAATGGCAGCACTTGGATATTGTTACCCTGCTTCAAAAATAGCATCCGGAAACCTGAGCCGTCTTCTCTTGGGGGGCGGGGGGTTGCCGTTGTGGTCGTCTGCCCTTGGAGGTCCTAGGGATGTGGGGGGGAGGATCCACTTAGCTCCAGTGGAGAATGTTTCTGGGGGCATCTGGCTGGCAACCCCTGCTGGCTTCAGTGGGGTCTGTAGCAAAGGGCTTTTTTTCAGGATCCGGATGAGGGAAGCCACCAGGACTGAGAGCATGGCGGCTTTCTGCGGCTGGCAGGATCTTGGCTAGTTTTTGCATGGTTCTGGGTCCCCATGGCGACTCTCACGGAGTGTTCTGACTCATAAATGCCAGTTGGATTGTAGCGGAGGAGGAAGGCACCGCTCTGGCCCCACCGAGGTTGGCAGCTGGCGACGGACTCTCGGCTGACTCTTCCCTCTGTGGGTACTTGACAGCAGGCTGGCTGGGGAATTCTGGGAATTCTGGGAGATGGAGAATGTCTTGCAACCTTTAATTCACGTTAAAGGTTGCAAGACGTTGCTGTACAAGCCAGCTCTGAGCCGTGGAAACCCCCAGGAGGGGACCCCCTGCCAAAATACGGATATTTTTGGTTCACTTTGAAATCATCACGGGTTGATATTTATTACATTTTGATCCCCAGTGACCTTGGGGCAGTATCCAGGAATTCTTCAGCATGTAACTAATCTTGGCCAGGATTAAAACAAAAAAACAAAACAACTAAGATGGCTGGGGAATTCTGGGAATTGAAGTCCACCCATCTTAAAGGTCCTGAGGTTGAGAAACATGATTGATTGATTGATTGATAATTAGACAGACAGACAAATATACTGTAGATAGAGACAGATGATAGACAGAGATAGAGATTATACACACACACATCTCAGTAGCTTCAACTCCCACCGTGCTGGCTGGGGATTTCTGGGAGTTGAAGTCCACCCAGCTTAAAGTTGTCAAGATTGAGCAGCACTGAGATAGCCAGAGAGATGACTACGTAGCTAATTATCTTCTCTGCCTCTTCCAGATCTGAACACTTCTGAGAATGCCCTGGTCCTCGCTGAACCTGGCTTCCTTCTCTTGGTTGCACCCATAAAGATTCTTCCCTGGCACTAGCCAACTGGCACGGACTTCCGAAGACGGGCGATGGCGACCTATGCTGGCAAGCAGGGCAAGAGGCAGGACGAGAGCAGCCTGGGCAGCCTGGTGGACCTGGTGCTGGCCAACGCCCGGGTGGTGCTGGGGGTCAGCGGTGCGGCTGTGTTGGCCCTGGCGACGCTTGCAGTCAAGAGGGTGAGACCAAGCGGCCCTTGATAAGCTTGCAGCCGGCTTATTTGCGTGAGGATGAACGTGCTGTTAGGTTTCTGCTCGTTGGTAGCTGCCTTTTGTTTAGTGATCGTTGTGAATTGTGAATGTGTAGCGGGAGCTGCTTGTCTTTGCCCAGGCAGCCAGGCCCGCAGAAGCGCAGGCCGTGCAGCTTTGCTCTGGACAGGTTGGGGAAATGCTATTTCTGTCCTAAATATTTCCGCTGGCCTCTTTATGGCTGAAACTCACAGTGGATTACGTGCAGATTTGTAATTTGTAAAGACCCAGAAATGCAGTCTTTCTTTTAATGCTGCTCCTTCTGTCGTGGCTCAGTGGAGCATTAAATGTGTATGTGGGAGGGTGTGGACGCATGCGCCAGCCGAGTGTTTATTTTGTTGAAGGTAGAGAATAAATAAATCCTTCATTCAGCTGCCAGTAGAACAAGCCAAAGGGGGGGGGGGGCAGAACAGAGCACAGGTGGATTGGCTCAGAAGAGCGGCTCCCGCTAATTGGGGAAGGGTCTCTTCTTCTACAGTTCATTGACCGAGCCACCAGCCCACCGGATGATGAGGACGACATAAAAGCCAAGCAGAAGTCCCTGGAGGAGAGCTGGCAAGAGCTAAGCCTGATCAAGGGGGTGTCCAAAGTGCGCCGGCAAGATCTGGAGGAGCCCCTGCTGTCCCCGGTCACAGCTGCACCTGCGCAAGGTCAGGTTGGGGCACTTCCAGAGGATACCTGCTCCAGTCCTCCTGTGGAGGGGGTGGGTGGGGGAGATTATTTTTCCCAGGGTGGCCTTGTACATTGGAACCCCAGGTGGCTGATCTCCAGAGTTGGATGGGACCCCAAGAGATCCCAAGACTCTAAGCGGTGTCAGAATTCAAGTTAAAGCATCCCTGGTTAATGATTTTTCAGCTTTTGTTTGAACACCACTGGAGAAGAACCCAGCAGCTCTTCAGGCCCTTGGTTCCATTCTCGAACTGCTCTTGATCAATGAACCGGACGTTGGCTTCCTGCAGCTTAACACGTTTTTCTTTGTCTTCCTTGCAGACTCTAAAGATCTCATCCTGTCCCCGGGGGTCTCTTTGGGGCAGTCCAAGTCCCTGCTCTGCCTCACCCTTCAGGAGAAGCTTCTCTCGTTCTACAGGGATCACATCTACGTCTCCGAGACGGAAAAGGCTGTTGGGAAGCAGCTCGCAGAAGACATCCGGGTGGAGCTGCAGACCTTCCTGAAAAACAAATCTTTGGATCTGCCCTTTGGGAATATTTCCCTGAGCGGCTACCTTTGTGACGACCTTGTTGGCCAACACCAACTGGAGGTGGTCTTCAACCTTCCCTTAGTCCTAGAAGACCACCTTTGGCACTTGATCCGTGGTGAAGAGACACTCGTGGATAACTCGTGGTATGGGATGATCAAACGGAGTGGTCTGGAGTATTTTACAAGGGGAAGCAGCCCTTGGGACAAGTTCATTGTAGGTGGGTACTTATCGTCCAATGCTATCAACGATGCCCTCCTGAAGACCTTGGTGGCCTCCGTCAACTGGCCGGTCATAGGCAGCCTGCTGGAATGCCTCATACGGCCTTCGATGGCTCCCAGGGAGCTGAAGCTGGAAGTCCAACACGAACAGGTCCTCTTGGACATCACCCTCTGCCCGATGGTGGAAACAGAAGGCAAGATTTTTCTGGCCACGTTCTCTGGAGAACCCGTGGACAACCTCTGGCAGCAGAGTTTTTACGCCGCAGAGGTTTCCAAGCTGAAAGAGCTGGATGCTGGAGATGGCGGCATCCGGCAATGTTGTCTCCTCATCTTGAAGGCCACCTTTGAAAAACACCCTTTCTGGAGCAAATTGACTGGCAGTCAGTTGACTCACGTCATCCTCCACCTGAGCCAAATGGAGCCGGACTGGCCGGAGGCGATGCTGGCCGAGAGGCTCCAGCAGGTCTTGGAGGAGCTGGTCCAGTGCCTGGCCAAAGGCTCTCTCCCTTGCTTTTTCGACGACAGGGTGGACCTCTTGAGCCATCTGCTCCCGGAGGAGATTGACGAGATCGGCTGCACGCTGTACGAGGCGTTGGCCGCGCCCAACCTTGCAGACGGGCTGGGTTTATAAAGAGAATCCTGGCTCCCTTTCGGACGGAGAAGACTTGGAAGGGACCTGTTCACTCCCCCCCCCCCCAAATTGCAATTCTTTTGCACCGAATGAAATGAAAGTATTAACTCTTGAAGTAAAATGGCCCTTGATTGTCAGCCCTTTGTCCTCGCTCTCTTGCCGGATTCTTTTGCCATTCGGAGCGGAGATTCTTCTCCAGGGAGTGTGCGCTTTCTCCATAGGGCAGGATTGGGGGGCAGAGAGGGTAGCTAATCCCCCTCCCCTCCTCTCCGATTTCCCCATTGTTTTACTTCTGAAACCTTGTGAATGTGCATCTCTGAGCGGAATGCTCTCGCCAGTGCTCTGAGTGATTGTGGTGGGGGTCTCTGCTCTGCAGCCCCCTGGAAGATTCTTCTGATTTTTTTCAAATAAATAAAGCAAGTAAGCAAACAGGCTCAGGTCACTTCTGGGCACCCAGGAACCAACTTTTGATGTAAACTTGTGATGCTTTCAATACTGCTTACGTAGGATTGAATACCGGAATGCCCAACAAAGGTAGCTTAAGCCAAATATATATTTTAATTAAAAAAAAAAATCCACGTCAATTGGGGGCTGGGCAGCAGCTGCCCTTTGGATCACAAGAACCTAGCACTGAGCAGGACAGGAAGGAAAGTTAGAAATATTAAAAGTTGAACTCTGCAGGGTTTTGTGCAAATATATTTTCCTTTTGAATAAATTATTGAGGCTGAATATTCCACTTACAGGGAGGGCAGGTATACAGGAAATGTTTGCTCGGCTTTGAAATTACATCCTCTGAGAAAGCATCAGTCCCACAATAAGTTCCAGGTCTTTGAGAAACGCCTCTTCCTCATTTAAGGAGAAGAAAGGCTTTTAAAAATCAAACATCAACAAAGTGTTACAGTCTAAAGCAGTGTTTTGTCAACCTTGGGCCCTTTGAAGATGGGTGGACTTCAACTCCCAGAAGGACTGGGGAATTCTGGGAGTTGAAGTCCACCCATCTTCAAGGTTGAGAAATGCTGGTTTCAAGTCTTCCACAATTCCACCTATAGTTAAAAACTTAAGGTGGAGGAAAGCCTGATCTTTCAGAAGTCCACGTCACCCCTTCGCGAGGCTCTCTCTTGCAAACGGGCCGTCTCGAGTCTCCCTGGCCCATCGGCCTAGGCTCGGCGTGGGGCACGCCGCTTCAGTGATTTTGTGGACACGTGGTCTTGGTGTGGCCAGGCTGGTGGCAAACGCTGCACGTCCGTGGTCTCTTCAGAGGTGCCGTCAAAGAGGAATCGCTGTCTGATCTTTTCGCTTTGGCCCCAGGGCCCCGTTTGGCCCACTCGCCCCCAAAATGGCTAGAAGGGAAGGTGGAGGGAGCTGCAAGAGGAGAGAAGATTAAGAGGAGACTTAAGTCACCCGAGAGAGGATTCTCTCCATTTTGGTATCCTCTTGATTGCCAGAAGTTTAGAAGTTGTTTTCCTAACACCTCTGGATGTGGTGAAATTGAAGCCACAGCTGGAGAGGGCCCAATAAGCGACTTCAAACTCAGAGCTGGCCAGGGTGGGACGTGGCCTTGAGAGACTGGGCTGACCTTTCCCGTGGCAGACAGCTACATCCCCTGACCTCTCCCTTACTTCAAGCTCTTGCTGGCAATGGATCCCTGTCCTTTTGAGCTGGGGAAGGTCCCAAGCTGTAAGGGAACCTCTTGAGATAAGTTTATTTAAAGGAGCATCATGCAAACCCCGCTGTCGGGTCCAAGTCCACAGACACAGGGAGATCTTTATGTGCTGACACCTACCAGACAGAATCTTGCCAGATTAAAATGATAACTTTCAACCTTGGCAACTTTAAGACTTGTGGACTTCAAGTCCCAGAATTACCTAGCCAGCTAGAATAGGGAGGGTTAGGTCTCTCTAATACAAGGTTGTCCAAGCTTGGCAACTTTTTAAGACTTGTGGACTTCAAAATCCAGAATCCCACAGTGGAATTCAGGGATTTAAAGTCCCCAAGTTTTAAAGTTGCTAAGATTGGACGCCCCTCTTGACTTGAAATGCGCTACCTTCTTCCCAGGAAACCGAGGTGTTAACTGCCAACATTTGCCCCCCTTTCAGCTACACATTCCATCACACCCACCCACCAATCCTGCCGCCAGCCCAAAGATGCCCACCCTTCACTTACCTGGCAACACGCTCTCATCTGCCCACTCGAAAAAGCCGCACTGCTGCTCCCTCGGCTTGGAGCAGGTGTGGAACTGGCGCCCCTTGTTGGGTCCTTCTTTCTGGACCGTCCTGGACACCGCAGGCTGCTCACACCTGCAGAGAGGGCTTCCTCGGCCAGCGCTGGCTCCGGGATTGGAGCCCACCCTCCTGGGCCCTGCTGCGGTTCTCTGCCCTGGCAGGGAAGAGCTGGGGGGCGGTGCCAGGAGCCCAGATGTCCCGTTGCTGGGCTCCTGCTGGTCAGACCACAGGAAGAATCGGCAGCTGCCCGTGTTGCATTTGTAAAACTGCCTGCCTTGGTTGGGCCCTTCTTTGCGGACGGTGAGAAGCAGGGCCTCCTGGCCACAATTGCACACCACGGCATTGTTCTCGTCCTCATTGGCGAGCGCTGGAGGAGTCCTGTGTGCGGGGGCAGGAGGGGGTGCCCGAGCAAGCACGCGCTGGCCACGGCCGTGGATCACGCCACTGAGGGAGCCAGGGGCTTCGCTGGGGAGATTCCTCGGCTGGGCTGGAACCCTGGCTGGTCCTTGCAGGTACTTCAGGTCTAGGATCTGCCTGAGGTTTTCATCGCAGCCACCGATGCAGCCCACAAACTGGAGAGGCATCACGGCCGGGAGGCTGCCTCGCTTGAACTTCAGTTTCAGCCTGCAGGAGGGAAGGGGAGCAATTAGCCCGGGACTTCTGGCACTGCAGCCCAACGGCCCGGAAGCTTCTGCTCGGCTCCTGCATCCCAATGACCCCCCCCGGCCACGGACTTTGATCTCAAGATCTGTCCAGGGTTATTAAGATGTGAGAGAGGAAAGCGAGGGGATGCTTTAGTATCCATCCGGTCTGCTCAAACAGCTGCAATGAATAGCAACAGCACTTAGGACTTATACGCCACTTCACGGTGCTTTACAGCCCTCTCTAAGCGGTTTGCAGAGTCAGCCTGTTGCCCCCCAACAATCTGGGTCCTCATTTTACCGACCTCGGAAGGACGGAAGGCTGGGTCAACCTTGAGGTGGTCAGGATCGAACTCCTGGCAGTGGTGAATTAGCCTGCAATACTGCATTCTGACCACTGGGCCACCAGGGCTCTGAAAAAGAGGCTTCCCTCCAACCGGGGGTGCTGAGGGAAGATCTTGCGCCTCAGGCAGGATAAATCTCCCCCCCCCAGGTTTCCTGGATTGGAGGGTGGGGACAGAGCAAATGCTCAGCCGGAATGCAAACACGCCCTGGATTTCCAAAGAGTGCAAAGCCCAGCAGCTGGGGACATTCCAAACGGCGGCAGAAACCAAGCCCAACACCTCCCTTGTGCCGAGACTCACCGATGCACCGGGGGCGGCCTGCAGACGTCGCAGACAGAATCATCCTTGCTGACTTCCAGCACGGAATCAGGAAACCAGACCGAGGATTTACAAGCAGGGTAGCCCAAGCAGCTGAGATAGAAGCTAGAGAAACACAGAGGACACATCAGAACAAGCAGAAGAGACGCTGACCAACGACCAACGTGGGTCTGGTTGGCTCAAGTGTTTTTCCAATTAGCACTTTTTTATTTGTTTGTGTGGGCAAAGTTGCTATAAAATATCCGTTGTTTAAACCAGGAGCTTGTGATCCTTGTAGGAGGCCAACGCACCCTCCGTTCTTCCTGGTCTTCAGGATCATGTCGGAGTTGCACTGCGGGCATTTCCTAACCGGATCGGGCATCGCTGGGTAAATGTCATCCTCCTGTGCCACCTGGGTCATCTCCCCAAAATACTGAGCCAAAGCCTCATCCAACCTGAAAAAGACAAAGGAAGTGGGCCTGTTTCTTCCTTCCGTCACTTGCGCCCAACCAAGGATTCGTGGATCTTAAACATTTGTGCAGAAAATGATACGTCAGCATTATTTCAGGAGAGATGTCTGAGAAAAGCCAGGGAGAAACAGCCTGTGGCTTTCCACGTGCTGTTGGATTGTATCTTTCTGTAACTGTTGTTTTAAACTGTCATTTTATTGTACTGTGTATTTATTTTGTTCCCTGCAGTTTTTTGGGGATGATAGGCTGCTAAATTAATTTAATACATAAATTACCTAGCAGTTCTTTGCTTACACAGTCAGTCTTGATCAAGGCAGGACCTAAACACCGTCCCTAAACACTGAGCCAGCAGCACCAACTCCATAAAGTTCTGTCTACTTTTTCCAATTTCTGGAACAGGCGCATCCCTTATAGGTAGGAATCAAAGGTTTAAAAAGGGATTTCTTTGCAGCTCCTACCAGCGTTTTAGCTGCCCTTCCTCTCCTTTTCCATCCGCTGCCAGTCAAACAGGATGTAAAGCAGATCCCGTCCAGGCAGAGGCTACAACCCCCCCCCCACACACACAATTTTCCTTGATTGGGGTGGGAATTTTTCAGCCCTCACTTTTTAGCCTTGGCCACGGCGGCCACAAAGACTTGCTTATATTTCTGGATCTGCTCTCGGAGCACGACGGACTTGTCCTTCTTCCCCTCGCAGATCAGCTTCAGGTCGTTTTCCAGTTCGGCTCGAAGATCCGGTTTGGACATCTCGTAGCCCATGGAGTCGTAGCCTGGGGGCAGCGGAGAGAGGAGAGGGTGGAGGAAAGACTGGAGGGGAGAGCCAGGCTCTTGCGAAAGGTCACGGGGCCGGTTCTTACCTTCCACCAGCCCCATCCCCAGGTGTCCCGGAAGGAAGCGCTGGTCCGGGGTGAGCCCCACGTACATGCGGGACTTGATGGTCTCGATGTGTTCCGCGTGGGTGGCGTCGGTTCCTGAAAGCCAAGCATTCACACGAGCTCTCAAGGACGGCACCAGGGGCCCAGGTTCCTCTGCTGCTCACAGTCCTCAAGTGCTTCCCAACCTCGGCCACTTGGAAGATGAGAGGACTTCAACTCCCAGAATTCCAGGCATCTCAAAGCTGGCGAGCTTGGGAGCACTTTTCAGCCACTGACCCTAAGCCCGACCCTCTGCCTTCCGGATATGCAGCTCTCCACAATCCCCGGCTGCATGCTGGGAGCTGTAGTCCGCACTTACAAGCTGTAGAGGGGAGCTTTGCGCACACCTGGTAGTAATTTACAACCTAAACCAAGGAAGTTCAGTGGGCTTCGATCCCAGATGCCAATTTAGCCCAACCTCAATATCGTGGCCAGGATTCTTACAATCCTTAACCCTTTTCTCCGTTACCGCTCTTGGATGGACCCCTTCTGCCACCAGAGCGTGCCTTCCAGAGAAGTTTTCGTATCAAGGAATCAAAAGTTCTGGCAAAGAAACCGTTGGCTATGGGAATATCCTTAAGCTTTTGGCAGGATGAGTGGCATACAGGTTTGATCCATAAATAAAAAAATAAACAAAATAAACTCTGGAGATGAGCGGGAGAACACATCTGGTCCGCAGCCAGCGCAGAACTGACCGATGCCGTGTCTCTCCATCAGGGAAATGAGATCAGCTTCGGTGAGCAGCTGGGGCGGGCTGGTCTCCCCTTCCACCATCTCCACAGTGGTGGGTTGGAAGCAGGAGCCCTTCTCGTAGAGGGGGATAACCTGCAGGGTCAAGGGGAGAAAGGAGACCAGGGAGTCAGGAAATGGGGCTACATGGGAGGGGGGAGAAATAAGAAAGGTATACAGTGGAATGGAATCTGCCCGTGATGGACCGAAGTCACAACAGTCACAAAGTGGGTCTTTGGGGTGGTCTGTTGTCAATTCAAATGGCCGATAAGTGACTGACCGTATGTTGAAGACCACCCCCGTATTGATAACTCAAATGGGGAGGACGAGTGAGGAGTAGCTTTTCTCCCCCTCTCAGGATACGACAACCTCTCCTAAGGAGCTGGCCCTCATCTGCTCACGGTCGAGCGCTCGCACCTTGTCACTCCACCTTTCGTAAGGGTAAACGTCCAGGTAATTTCTGGCCAGGATCATCAGCCCGTGAGCCACGAAGCGCTCGTAGGATATATCGATCTCCACCGTGGTTTCCTGCCCCTTCGCATCTTCGGAACAGCAGGCCAGGAAGTGGCGGACGATGAATTCATACAGGCGCTGCTCGTTGCCCTTGCAGGACACAAAGGACGAGGTCACGGGGAGGAGAGCAGCCGAGGAGAAAGATGGGGGGAGAAGCAGATTGGTACAGATGTTAGGATAACCCTTCTCTTCCCTACAAGCAGCAAGGAATTCGGCATACGCTCCCCAGGCATCTTTCCTCTCCAACTGAGAGTTTGTCTGCAATACCCTCTGGAAATTCTAGGAACAAATATACTGAGAGGGAAGACTTTGAACCAAGAGAAAAAGCATTCCTGTCCTCTCCTCAAAGGGCATTTTGTAACACGCCACTTTCCACTTCGTTTCCTTTTCGGATCCTTCAGCAGTGGCGGGTTGAGCAAACCCCTCGGTAACAAACTGCCCTCTCTTGGAAAGCAAAGCTGCAGCTGATGCAAAGAGGTCCAGCAGTCGCGTGGACTCACCTGCAAATTACCGGCGTATTTGGTGGGGTGAATGGGAGGGTGAGCCTGATCTGACTTTGCCCCCTGCCGTGGGGTTGGCCTGCCTTGGTCCAGGATCCTTTGCGCAAAGGCTCCCCAGTGGGGGTCTTGAGTCTGAAGCTGCACCAGCTGGGAGAGGTTTAGGTCTTTGGGGAAAATGTTGGTCTCTGTTCGGGGGTAACTTATGTACCTTAAAAGCAAGGAAATGGGGAAAAAGTTACTTTTTAAGAAGTGCTTTTTATGAATGGCCCACACAAGACCCCGGGGGACCCATTAAGACTGCTGAATCCCACTGCTCATTTGCTGTAAAAAAAAAAAAGGCCTCCTGTGTCACTTCCACACTATTCTTTCTGTTTTCAAAAGGAATCTCTTTTTCGGTTCTTAATAGCCTGTTCCACCCTCCGGGATGACGGGAAAGGGACTTGAATTATTTACTCAGAGTTACAGGCCATTCCCACTAGGAGACCCACTAGGAGATTGCAAAGCCTTGCTGTTCCTCCCATGACCCCTTGCGGGGCATTTGACAAGAATTGCCCTAGTGCCCCCCCCCAATCACCTTTCTCAAAGCAACACAACACAACAAAGCAACAACGACACTTCCTTATCCTCTCCTCTAAGGAGACGCATTTTAAGCCTCCTGATCAGATCTGCTTTTATACAACCCGTTGCTTAGTTGGGTTTCTCGCTTGCACCATCTCCAAAGATGGGGGACAGTGGGAAAGAAGAAATATTAAAATAAATCTTCCTGGTAAAAGAAACCCCCCGTGGAACTGAAATAGCACTATCCTATTAGCCCCTATCAGGCTTCATCCTACATGGGGTTACCCACAGAAGAGCCACTGCTTTTACCCTTGGGTATACAGCTTCTCGGCAATCTTCATGGTTTCCTTGGCATTTATTTTCAGCTTACGGGAAGCCAATTTCTCAAGTTCCTGCGTCAGAAGAAGAGGAGGGAAAATGTGCTTGATTCCTCTCTGCCCATGTAAAATGAATAGGAGTTTTGGAATCAGGAACACGAGCATGCCTCTGCAGCCCTTCTCCCAACTCAGCAAGTAATCATTCCCAAGCTTAAAGTATTAATTTAGGGATGGACTTCCCACCAGAGAAGGCCAAGACATTTCTCCGATTTAGTCACTTCCCTCTCCTCTGAATGTCTGCCTTGAGGCTTCCAGAAGAGGCTCTACCAAGGGGGTTCGGATCAGAAGCTGAACTGAGAGCTCATCTTAGTCTGATTTTAACTGAATATTCTTTTCCACAGCCTACCACCGTGTCCAGCGGCAGAGGTCTCCATTTGCTCTTGGGTTTGCTTCCAACCTCCACAACGGTGGCCTGAGGATCCTAAGACAAAGGTGTGCAGAAGACAAGGTTCTTGATGGCTCCTTGCCAAGTGAAAAAGGAAGAAGACAGGACGGACGGCTCACCTACCTCCATGCACATCTGGTAGAGGACAAGACACGCCGTGTGGTTGAAGAGACGGTGCCTCTTCCAGCTGAAGTCCACAGTACCTTCTTCGTGGTCGTGAGTCACTGCAGGGAGAAGATAGATCAAGGCTTGGTCTCACCAAGGCAATCCATGGCACCGTTCTGCTTACAGCTGGTAGAACGATGCCTATGTGGGAGGGAAGGATGTTGCGGGCCAGATGAAATGGCGGACGAAATGCAAAACTATGGTCCCCACGCTACGGTGGGAATAACGCAAAGAAGAAGAATGCAATTTGAAAAGCAAATTCCTACAATATATTTCTCAGCCCAGATGTTTCCCTGCTTGGGCTTCACGTTCTGGACCCTACCTTTAATTTTGTAGAATGTTTCTTGAACGAAGGCTTGAATAGCTTTGAATCTTTCCACCACAAAGCCCAGGGTGGGGAACTGACAACTGCCGTAGCTAATGAGCTGTTCTGCTAACACCTCCGGGAAGATCTTCTGAAGCCTCAAGGTCTGGAACCGGGTAAAGGCAGCACCTGCTCAAGGAAGCAGAAAACCCAGGCCCAACATGAAAACGACAGTGGGTCCAGCCCTATTGGAAGAGGGGAGAATTACTGGACAGGCCCAGTGGAGCAATAGCAACTCCCCTGAAAAGCTGGCGACATTACAGCTTGAAGGAAAATTAAAGTCACTTTAACCACCAGCAGAAAGTAAATCAAAAGGAAGTCTTTGGTTTTAGGAAAGCCAACCCACAAAGATTAAACTATTCAGTTAACTCTGGGAACAACCCATGTTTGGTTACATCAGGGGTCTTCAAACTTGGGCACTTTAAGACTTGTGGACTTCAATTCCCAGAATTCCTCAGCCAGCATGGCCTGACCGCTCTGCTTTCCCTCTTACCTATTCTGAGGTCCAGCTCTTGCCTCACCTCCACAGCATCGTTGGTGTTCGGATCTGGCTGGGTGAGGTTCTCGCAAGCGGACTGGATAGCCCGGGGTGTGATCTCCGAGAAGCGGGCTCGGAACACCTGCAGGTTTGGCTTCACTGCCCAAAGGAAGGTTCAAGGCGCATTGAGTCAGGGGAAGCAAAGCAAAAGCACTGCAGAGAACGAAACCTCTCACGATTCAGAGGACCGTCTTACTCTCGCTCAACAGATAAAAACTCCACGGCTGCTTGGCCAAAATTCCCGTCCTGGGGAATCACTTGAGGATTGTGGATTCTGAGTGCCCAGCACTTCTTCACCCTCTCTCCACATACCTGCTTTACACACGTGAATGATTTCAAAGCCAATGTTCTCCCCTTCGCGATCACAATCGGTCCAGATCACCAGGGCCTGGCACGGCTGAACCTCTCGCTCAAGAGTGCGCTGGAATTGGTAAGAGGAGAGCAGCGTGAAGAAAACAGGAGAAAGAGCCACTACAATTCTGAAATAAGAGACAAGCCGACAGTTGTCAATGGTATTTTATATTATGTCCATGGCTGGACATAAGGCCCATTTGTCAGTCAGAGATTGCAGCCACAGAAAAGGATGAAGGATATCTTGCCTCCTATTAAAACAAGAGGCTGCAGGCAACACAAACCTTAATGTCCATGTAGTTTTCAGGGCAGAATTTCTCAATTTCTGCATCGAAAAGGACCAAGGGGTTACAGCTATGCCTGTTGGAAGAGCATCAAAGAAAGGCACAGAGAAAAAAGCAAACATTTAAAGAAATACTATCTAGATTCTAAAAGACATTTGTGCCTATAATGACAATTACCTTGATCAAAATTTGAGTATATAATTGCAGAAAGCTAATCATCCCTCCTGATCTGTTAGTACGTACCATTTCCGAAATGGTGCCTTGAAATCCTGAGTCAGCAAGTGTCCGGACACAGATGTCATAATCAAAGTCACATTCTGCATAAAACAGAGAAATACCAATTATCCTTGGTCATGCTAAGTGTGGTTTTGCAAAAGTGGATTCATATCTACAGTCTTATTTTTATTATCCATTTAGATTCATTATTAAGATCACTTGGTTATATTGTTACATTTTTAATTAATAACTATCAATAAAGTAAAAGTTATTGATAACATCACTGTTATATCCACAATTACACATGTAGTGATAAAGAGGCACAGACAGAATTGTGATGACTGTTTGACACAAACCTGGTTAAACAAGTGATACTGGAATTCATAGATCTTGTTGAACTTGGACATTCCTTCCCTCTGGAAAGAAAAACAATTCTAATCCACATGAAATCAGCTTAGCTAAATAAACAAATAACCAATATGATACTCAGATAAATATCCTGAGAAATCTCTCAAATAAAGTCATTATTCCCCCCTCCCAAATCCCATACTGTTGTTTTACAGTTGTTTTTCAATCCCAAGCTGGATCTTCAGCTCATAAACAAGCAATCATAAATCGTTCCATTACTCAAGTTACAATAGGCCCAAATTATTCCCTTGAGAGTCATTTCCCCCAACTTAGGAATCAATGGACTAGATGTAAAGTTAAGAGTTTTCCGGTCCATCAACATGCACAGAAATAAATGTCTGGGATCATGACAGATTTTCTGTACTTTAACAGCTGTTCTATGAGAATCAATAGTAGAAATGATGTTTGAATCTCCCATGCCTCTGCCGGTTCATTTTATAAATTGGGATTCAGACGAGCAAGTTGGATATTTATTTCAGCTTGAAATGAATCGGCGCCTGTCATTCAAGTCGAGTCATTCCAAACATGCTGGTCAACCTTCCCATTGACCAGAGGAAATCTCACATCCAGGGTCAGAAAGTTGGCTTTCCTACCCTCCTCATCCTGCTGTTCGAAAGGATGTCTGCAATCCCACGGGCTGCATCATTTTTCTCTGCCACACAGAGAACCTTCTGGAGGTTGCGAAGCGTCATGGTCTTCGCCGTCGGCCTGAACCAAAGGTTGGAGGACCAGGAGAAGAACTTCACGGTTCCCCAAGCCAATCCTCTGGCCTGACCGAACATCCTAGAACCCAGCCGGCCGGCCCATCGTGGGGCCTCGGCAGCTCCTTTCCCAGGCAATGAAAGTCTGTCGCCAAGGGAGGAGAACTCTGGCCCAGTCCGAAAGGGAGTGGATCCCTTCTTCGGGATGCAAGGCTCCTAGGGGGGCTGGTCCCCCGAGTTTCCCCAGGTCACAGAGGTGGGTGGGGAGACCCCCAATGTTCCCTGAAGCGGAAGCTCTGGATCCAAGGGCAGCAGCCAGGGGTGCCCCTTCCCTTAGGAGCACCGCAGGGCAACCCCAGGCTATTGGGGAGGGGGGCACTGGGGGCTCAGGCGCCCGTCTCTCCTCCCCAGACCCCCAAGTGACAGGCTGAGCTCAGCCCTTCTAGCCACCCACCTGTCTGACCCCCCGCCTCTCTGCCATGGGGATCTCCCCCTCCCCTGGTGCCCCAAGCCTAACCCAGCCCCTCCTCTGCGCCCCCTTAGCCTGCAAGTCAGGGCTGACCCCCAAGTCTGTGAGACCCTCCTCCAGCAGGCCCCTCCCCCGCCTGTCAGGCCCTTCACCCCCCCCCCGGGGCCCCTTCGCTGTCCAGACGGGGGCGGGGCTTTTTTGATCTGCTCCCCCTCCCAGAACCCCCTTTCCCTTCTCGCTTCAGCTCCCAGCCGTATTTCGCGCCCAGCGCCGTCGTAAGCGCCCGCGGCAAAGTGGATTGGCGGAGAGGCGAAGGAGGCGGTGTTTCTCTTGCTTTACGGCCCTGCCGTGAAAGGAAAGCCGGGCGGCAGCGGAACCACTACGCATCCCAGCATGCCCCGCGGCGATTGCGCAAGTTCGGGATCTCCCTTTGCGAATGGGGAAGCAACCTCTGGCAGTAAATAAGCGTAGCTGTAGCTCAGCCCAGCCCACCTCTCAGGATTGTGGTTCTGGGCAGAAGCGGAGGTAGCAGTTGAGATAAATCTAAAAAGGGCCGGATACTCATATAACCTTCTTCGTGGTGATAATCATGATATAAGAGGCAGAACTACAACACCCAGCGTGCCCTTCGGCCGGGCCGCTTCAACGCTTCCGACTGGCCTCAGCTCCGCCCCTACTGCGCCACAAACCCTTCCCGTCGATGTCAGTCAATCCAATCAGCCTATCAATCGCTCCGGGCGGCGCCACTGCTTCCGGGGCCGGGGTCCCCAGTCATGTGACCCCAAGATGGCCGCCCGGCGGCGGCTGGGAGGCTGAGGCGGCGGCGGGTCAGGCCGCGCTCCCCGTTCCCGGGCAGGATGATCGGCGCGCCCGACGTGATGGCCTTCGCCAAGGAGGAGGCGGCGGCCGAGGAGGCGGCGGCGGCAGCGGCGCGCGAGCCGGGCCTGCCCGAGGAGTACTCGGTGCCGCTGCTGCCCGCGCCAGGCCGCGGCGCCCACCCGTGGTCCCGGCGGGGCGGCGCGGGGGGCGGCGCGGGAGGGGCTCCGCCGCCGTTCCCGCGCGACTTCCTGCTGGTGGCCGAGTTCTCGGAGCAGGTGGGCCCGCAGCCGCTGCTGACGGTGCCGGCCGGGGAGGCGCCGGGCGGCTTCGACCTCAACTACTTCGCGCTGCGCATCATGTCGGTGGACTACCAGGCCTGCGCGGCGGGGGCGGCCCCGGGAGGCCCGTACCCGCGACTGCGCTTCGCCCGGGACTCGCAGGTGGTGCTGGGCGACTCCAAAGCGGGCGCCTTCGCCTACGTGCACCACCTGACGCTCTACGACCTGGAGGCGCGCGGCTTCGTGCGGCCCTTCTGCCTGGCCTACGTGTCGGCCGACGAGCGCAAGGTCATGCGCCTCTTCCCTGAGCTCTCGGCCCAGTTCTCGGGCGCCTCTGAGGCGCTCAAGGCCGGCAACCGCAGGGCCTTCGCCCGCGAGCTGGAGAAGAAGCTGCGTGACCTGGACTACACCCGGGCCGTGCTGCACCGCGAGACCGAGCTGCAGAAGCGCAGCCTGGCCAAGGGCTGCTACTCCAGCCGGGCCATCGAGAAGGCCAACGAGCTGGCCAGCGTGGAGAAGGCCATCATCGAGCACCGCGACCTGCTCCGGCAGATCCGATCCTACCCGCCCGGCCGGCGGAAGCAGCCCAGTGGGCCTCCCTGCGAGCCTAGCGGGGAGGACGCCCACCCGGAGTTCTCCGTTGATGATGATGATGCGTTCCCCCCGCCCTGTCCTCCAGGCTCCTCCTACACCCCGAAGCTCATCCCAGCCAAGTCCAGCAAGTGCTTCGACAAGAAGCTGAAAACCCTCCAGGAACTGTGCGAGGAGCACTCCTTCAACCAGACCCTCGACCGCTTGCATCGGATCGAGAAGATGTTCCGGGGCGATGTCTGCCACCTCCTGATCAGCCGCATCAGCAGAGCCCTCTTAAAGCAGCAGGCCTTTGCCAGCTTCCTTTTTGAAGACGTGTCTCTTCTGGACGAGGAGCAGCAGGAAAAGCCCTTTGAAGTCGGTCCAGGACAGACCTTGGACCGTCCCAACATTGCTTGTTTGGAAAGCTGCCCAAGTCCTGAGATACTAGTCGACCTTGCCTCTTACAAATCCAGTGTGGAGTCTGTGCTGATTAAGATGGACCCAGAGGTTGAAGAGAGCCAAGACCCAGAGGTCCCCCACCCTGTCCCTTACGACAGTGTTGACCTTCTAGATGTCGACCTGAAAGGGAGCGTCAGCAGTGGCGAAAGCATTGAAGTTTTGGGAACAGAGAAATCGGCCACAACTTCTGTGCACTCGGAAAGTCAGTCTGGCTTGCTACAAGGGCCACCCAGCCCCCCTGGAGTGAGAAACAAAGCCGCCAGCAACAGGACCATAAGCGGGGATAGCATTGAAGTCCTTAGCACCTGCCCCTCGGAGGCCTTGATCCCAGACGATTTTAAAGCGAGCTACCCAAGTGCCATTAATGAAGATCCTTATGGTGGCGAAGAAGAGGAAGGCTTCCTGTTCAACCACGAGTTAAATCTGGACAGCACCGAAGAGGAGGTGGAGGGCAGCCCTGCACCTGAAGCTCCTCCGGGGGATGCTTCTTGCTGCATTGGCAAAGAGAGCCCAAACTTTCTTGAGGGTCAAGCCAATGTGCCTCCCAAACACGACAATGAGGATGGCGTGGTCAGCATTCCCCCACAGCCGTACAGGCCAGGCGACGCGGGGTTTCAGGTGAACTTCACAGACTGCTCCCACGATGGGGTCCTGGGAGGCCTCCTTGCCTATGAACTCGATCCTCATTTCCTTTGTGACGGCCGAGAGGCCAGTAAAATGAGCCTGGATAAATGCTCGGATTCCACGAGTTTCATGAGCAGCGCAGCGTCCACCAACTCCGACAGAACTCCGTCCCCTGCTGCTCTCACGGGAGAAAAGTCCAAGAAGGCCGGGCAGAGCGCCTTGCGCTTCATCCGGCAGTACCCCTTCGCCCACCCCGCTATCTACTCTCTGCTGAGCGGGAGGACCCTGGTGGTGCTGGGAGAAGACAAGGCCACTGTAGAGAAGCTCGTCACTGCCCTCTCCATTTTTGTCCCCAATTCTGGCGCTTACGCCAAGCCCGTGAAGCACTGGGCCACCTCGCCTTTGCAGATCACGGACTTTCAGAAGTGGAAGCTGGTGGGGCTCCAGAGGTAACATTTTGGCCACTTGGGCCTTCTCCCCAAATGTCCTGTCCTGGCGCATTTCCTCACCATATCACCTCATGGAGAGGATTGCCTGCTCCTCCCCGCCCCCCTCCTGTCTCTGACCTTGCTGTGTTGAATAGCAAGGTCTGAAATGGGTCCCTGCTTGTATTGGACTGGGCAGTGAGGTTTGGGAGTAGAAGGCTGGTGTGGATTGGCATGTTTATCCTCCTTATATATAAATATCCTGTTCAAATATGGTTTGAGGGATGTTCTTTACCCAACACTTGGTGGTCATAAGGAAGGTGGATCAAAAGGTGATAAGGCTAGACTGGAGCAAGATGGCTAACCTGTTTATTTATTTGGTTTCTGTAGCTGCCCATCTGAGCAAAGGACTCTTGCAGGTGTGCCTGACAGAAGCGGGCAGCACTCAGCTTCTTGTCTCCTGCCAACCAGTTGATCAGCCGACTGGGAAAGAGAAGGTTGCTGGTTTCCTGTGTCTGGAGAAGTAGTAAACTTGCACCACAGCCTTAGGAGAAAGAGGAACTTGCAGTTCTGCTAAAAATCACCAGTAACTTCCTCAGGTTTCAGTTGTTGGTGGACGTGGCCAGGCTGAGATTTGAACAGCCACATCATCATTTTATTTATGTAACCAATAGCTGTGTCGCCTCTATTGCGCAAACAAGGGAGGCAATTGTGGAGATCTGATCTCCATTTCCTCTACTCTGTTCTAACAAATGCTGGGACATGGGGAAGGGATTCAGGTAAACATAGGCAAGGGAATTAACTGTTAAAAGGCAATAAGGTATCATATTTTTTAGCTAAGATCTCCCGAGAAAGTTGATTAGAGAAGAGCAAACATGCTTATAAAATCCTTTTTTAATAAAGGACATTCAGAGAGTTTAAGATAGCTCCTCCACTCTGTTTCAAGGGCCCTTTTGCCTTCCAGCCTCCCCATTTGCACCTGTTCCTTCTCCTCTTTCCAGGTCAACCTCTCCAGGTGGTCCCAACATGATGCATTCTCTCAGCCGGTACAGCCGATACATCAGTGTGCTGGACGCCGACCACAAGATCCTCCGCTGTCCGCAGTACCGAGGGAACCTGATCCTCCGGCTGGCCGACCATCGCACCCAGATCAAGCGGGGGAGCACCTACCACGTGCACGTCCAGACCCTCCTCACCCAGCTCTGCTCCAAGGCCTTCCTCTACGCTTTCTGCCATCACCTGCACCTCCCCATCCGAGAGGGAGAGACGGAGGACTCTGTGAGCGCGCGGCGGGAGAACTTCTTGAAAGTCCAGCTGGGTCTGGCAAACGAGGACCGCAAAGTGGTCCAGTATCTGGCTGAGCTTCTGAAATTGCAGTACATTCAGGATCCCATCCGCGGGGTTAGCCCTGTGCTCAGGTTCGATTACGTGCCCAGCGCTTTGTACAAAATTTAGGTGGCATCCAGCCTGTCCTGCCAATGTCCTTCCCCCATCCAACATTCGTCTGTGTCTGTTAACAGGCTTCCACGGTTCCAGGACTGTCCTGTGAGCGCATGGGAACCCTGAGAACGGTAGAGAGTAAAGGGAGAATCCAGACATTTGGCACCACTGCCAGGTTGCTCTTAAAAGGCAGGAGAATGGCATTGTGCAGAGCGGTGGGAAACCTCCTGAATGTGGCGGGCAATCACGGGAGAGCTGGGAGACCGTGTTTGTGAGCAAGTTCTTCCTGTTGGGTCGTTTGCAGATTGGTGGGATTATCGCGAGTGCATTTCCTTGCATGTGGGATAATATCCCAACTAATGTGAATTGTTATTTGAGCAATTGGCTGTCACCCTTGAAATGAAAGAGGCCTTGTTGGTTTTACTTCCCTCTTTTGAGCATAGGGTAGTGTTCGGAAGCCAGATATAAAACTTCTGGTTTGCTGAGGAGGCTTCAGGGGTGGAATTCCGGTGGGTGCGAAATCTGTGTGGCCAGCTGGGGGTGGGCGCTCTGATTCAAAAGGGAAACTCACTGTTGCATTGCACTTCTGAATGAGGAGTTGCATTGCAACTCTGAAGACTGTTGAGGTGGTCCAACGTTGAGGATGTGAATATGGGCGGCCCGTGGTTAACAATCTAACGTGGCTTGGTTTTGGGGCAGGACAGAGCCTAAAGATTGCCCAGAGTGTCAGCTACAATTTTTTAAGCCCTCTTGCGTTTCCCATAATCTGACACCTGAGCGTTTTGAACCCCCAAATTGACTGGGTTTAAGCTCTAATGACCTGGCCAGCGTAAGCCCTTCAAAGATAAAAGTGTTCCTTTGCTCTAGGTGGCAGCTTAGATCTTGGCTAACAAAAGAAGCTGCTCAAACAGCCCTTAGTTTGGTGGCTAACAAGATTGCAGATTGAGATCTTTGCTGTTTGCCCTTGAAAATATTCCAGCTGGTGCTGAAGACACGCCAGTTTTCCCTTCTGTGGTATGTCAGGATTGCACAAGACTGGCTTGAGAAAGCTTTTTGGAGTGAGCGCACTTGGCTTACTCATTTGAAAAAGATTTCCAACACGTCAATTTCTTCTTCCACCCAATGAAATGTTTGGGGAAGGTTGGTTGTGTTGCCAGTTTCATCGATGTCATCTGTGCTGGCACAGCAACAAAGAATTTTATTTCAACAAGACTAGGTAGCAGATTTTCAAGGGAGTGTTCAGTTTCTGGGCCTATTTAAGGGATCCTAAAACTTGCCCGCCTGTAATCCCCAAGAGTTGGTTAGAAAGTGTTATCGGGTTCTTTAGGCACCCGTGTTTGCAGAGGGCATCTTTGACTTTAGGACAGTGTTTCTCAACCTTGGCAACTTGAAAATTGGTGGACTTCAACTCCCAGAATTCCCCACATCTTGTAGTAGCCAACGTTGAGAAACGTTGTTTTGGGAGATTGCAGCTTGGAAGCCGCATCCAGGGCCATGGTGCCTTTTGAGAGCAATCTGGAGTCGCCCCTGCAGACTGGTAGACCTTGCGTGAGTTGATCTGGTGGTGCTGGCGACTGGCCTGCCCTTGTAGCATTTGTAGACGTAGCACTGCCCTCCCGGGGGCCCCTGGAGAATAAAGGCCCCCACCCGAGAATTGTTCCTCTTATTGCCCATTCCTGCACCGTCTTTGTCGCTCCCCGCTGACCCTGTCGCTTTCGAAGCCGCATCTCTCATCTCTGCATGTTTGGTTTTCTGGTTTGATCCCCAGAGCTTTCGCATAGGCAGCGCTTAGGAGGCAGTAAAAACGGGGAGCCTTCAGAGAAATCCAGGCAGCCGTCGCGCATTCGTGCCATTAAGTCACATCCTGAAGAACTGGACGAAATAATATTCAACACCAAGTGACCATGACTTTAAAAAAGTGTATATTTAAAAAAGGAATTTATTTATTTGGGCACAACTATTTTTTGAAATACAAATATATATATATATATATTGTTGTATTTTTTAAAGCTTATCTAACCCCATGGTAAAATTCTTAATTTTATTGTGCTTAGTAAAAACTGTCCTGACAGTATCTTTGAGCTTGTGCATCTAGTACAGTGAAGGCAGCTGTGGGTGGTGGGGAGATAAACCGCAAGTGGGAAGTAGTTGGTGTCAAATATGTTGCTCAGCTTGTCATTAAAAGTGCCCCTTTCCTTGAACGACACATCTGCTTTTTGGAAACTGGAAGTAGAATCCGTGGGACAAGATCAGGTGTGCGAGAGAAATAAATCCCCGCGTTGTTTAGCTTCCTGCTTCCCTCCACGGCCAACCACAAGGTTTCCTGGAAGGGCTGCGTGGTGAACGGAAGGCCCACTCCTGCTTAAGCCATTGTCATCCCTATAAATTGTGGCAATAAATTCTGTAACTTAATGCAAAACAGTTTGAAGAACAATTTTTCCCCCTAAATGGCCAATTTCTCTCCAAAGCATCTCTAGAAGAGATGCTTCTCCTGTTCCATCAATAGGGTTTTTTTTCTGGCAAGACGTCTAGATAGCATCTGCTTGAAGGCAATGTTACCTGGTGTGTGTGTGTGTGTGTGTGTGTGTGTGAGAGAGAGAGAGAGAGAGAGAGAGAGAGAGAGAGAGAGAGAGAGAGAGAGAGAGAGAGAGAGAGAGAGAGAGACTGGGCTGTCATTAACCGTTCCAGAGAGGGTGGTACTAACATTTGTCCTTGTTCCATTTCCTTCCCAGCTCTGGTGCATTTTCCTTCTTAAAAAGGGGAGGAAAAGAACTGGCTAAAAAGCGGATTATAAAAGCAGAAGCCGACCCAAGAGAAACCAAAGACAGGGGCACTGAAGGAGGAGGAGGGTCCCATTGCAAGAGGGCAGCTGGGGTGGGCTGCCATTCCAGATGTGGCTCCTTTACAACACAGGCAAGCCGGGAAGCGGGAAGGAATCGGCGAAGGTCTCCACCTCCTCCTTGAGGGACCTCAGCAGCCCTTGGTACTTCTGCTCCGTCACCAGCTTCTCTTTGAATTCTCTCAGGGTGGCTTTGGGGCTCATGTCGCTCTGCACCTGTAAAGTGAGCTCTATACCTGTATAGGGAAGACAGACACCTGCGTGAGCTTAAGCACCTCACTGAAACAAGACGCCAGGCTGAACAGCAGGGTACATTTGGAAGGTTCCCCAATCCAACCCTGTGGAGTCTCTGGGATGCAAGAAGCAGAGGGTTCTGTTGGCTGGACTTATAATTCCAGAGAAGGGAAATCCCCCCCCCTTACACACACACTTTTCAAAAGAGTCTGTTCTAGGTTGAAGAAAATATTGCTTTGGGTGTGTGTGTGTTGTTTTTTTTGCTTTACAGCTGAACTCTTTATGTTTGCCCATTGAGTCCAACTATTCCTCTGCAGCTTAGCAAAGCACAACCAGGAAGCATGTCCCTCTCCTCTCTCCCTCCAAGTTCCCATCCAGTTCCAACCTTGGCAACTTTAAGACCTGTGGATTTCAACTCCCAGAATTCCCCAGCCAGCGCATCCCCCTTCTCACCTTTCCCAGGATTCGCACCCGAACTGTTTGGCCTAAGAAAGGGGAAGAGGGGGGCACACAGGTACAATGACCACCCCACCTTTGTGAATGAAGTGAGCGACTTTCTTAAAGTCTTCTTCCAGGAATCCTCGGGAGGTGAGAGCCGGAGTCCCCAATCTCAGCCCACTGGGACGCAAAGCACTTTTGTCTCCTACAAGGAGGGGGAAAATAGGGATTAAATTGCAGGAAAGGAAGCTGGTTGGTGCCGGGTGGATATTTAAGTAGATCTCCCCACAGCTAAGTCATTCCTGCCAGCAGCTGCGCTCAGAGATGTCTTTTGGTCTTGAAAGCCTCCATTAACCGACTGGTGTGGTCGTATTCCAACTTGCCTTGTTGCTATTAGCACAGGGATGCAGGATCTTGGCTTTTAGATCTGGGTATCTCCCAGTTCCCATCTCCCAGCCAATGCAGCCCCCAAAGATGGGAACTGGGACTGCCAGAATTGAGATCCCATGTTCCTTGACCACTAGGCTTGGGGTCACTATTAGACACTGCCTTGTTTTCGCTGTGTAAGAAGGTGCGAGTGGCTAACAGCAGCCAACCACCACCACCCTTGTAAACCCCGAAGCTAGCCAAACCGCTGGGCCAAAGCCCGTCCCTCCTGGCTGAGCCTCCCTCACCTGGACAGGTGTTCTTGTTGCAGGCGATGGCGCAGAGCTCTAGGACCCGTTCAGCTCGCCCGCCATCCGTGCCCCGGTTGCGCAGATCGACGAGGATCAAGTGGTTGTCGGAGCCCCCTGCAAGGAGAGCCAAAACAGCGGCTGAAGGGTGCGACGAAGCGCCATTGTCCCGGGGAGCCCTGCGTGCTCCAGAGAAGACGCCAAAGGAGAGCTGCATCCTTGGCTGCCTCACAGACGTTGACTTGGAAACAAACCTCGCAAGGTGTGGAAATTGTCCCGGAGGGGATTGTTTCCTTACCAGTGACGACGTGGTATCCCGAGCTGATGAGAGCGGCTGACAAAGCCTTGCAGTTGGCCACCACCTGCTGCTGGTAGGTCTTGAATTCGGGAGTCATGGCTTGTTTCAAAGCCACAGCAATTCCTGTCCCGACATTCCCCCCCAAGAGTGGAAGATGGATTAAGTAGTGGCTCTGCACAATAACACCCATGCCAGACGGAGGGGTTGAAAAGCTTTCTGGCCATGAGGAACAGACTTTGAAAGACCTGCAGTGAATTAAGCTCATTTTCCAAACATTTTCTTGCCCTGAGCGCGAAGGAAGCGGGCAAAGAAATGCTGGCCAGTTCCTCCTCCTCCCTCCCAGTTCACAGGACAGGCTTTTGCCTTTTTCTCAAGCACAACTCACCTGCAATTGCGTGATTGTGAGGGCCCCCCTGGAGACCAGGGAAGACGGCCTGATTGATGAGGCTTTCCAGGTTATACAGGACCTCCTTCCCCGTTTTGGGGTCGACGCTGCGGGCACCTGGAGAAGGGAAGAAGGGTGCTTGGAAGATGCTGGAGGCCTCCAGGGGTTTCAGCCCAGGAGGATGGTGCATAGGTTCCCTGCTCGCTGCAATGCTCACCTTTCCGGTAGAAGATCATGCCAGCTCGGCAGCCCCGCAAGGTTTTGTGGGTGGTAGTGGAGACCACCTCACAGTGCTGGAAGGGGGAGGGCACCACGCCGGCTGCCACCAAGCCGCTGATGTGGGCCATGTCAGCCATGAGGTAGGCGCTGTTCTCGTCCGCGATCTTCCTCATCCTGGCATAGTCCAAATTCCGGGAGTAGCAGCTGACCCCTAGGGTGGGAGAGAAGGCGAGGGTTACTCAAGGGGGCTACAGGGAAGGAGATGCCAAGGGCGTCCCAGGCTGGCTTCTAGGATGGAGCTGCTCCTGATATGGAAAGCCCTCGCCCTGGAAAATTAAAGAGAAGCGTTTTCTCCTCATTGACTCGGTCTTCATAACTCTGCATGTCAAATGCACGCCTGTCATTTTGGTCCCTGGAACTTCCTGAAGTTGTGGTCCTCACACAAGGGAAGCACAATCTGGGGATGGGTGCCCAAGCCCAAGCAGATGATCTCTGAGTAACCCCAGGGAGTGGAGGAGAAGGTGCCTCACCTGCAATGATCAACTTTGGATGAAACAGGCGGGCGTTCTCCTCCAATCGATCATAGTCGATGTAGCCCGTTTCGGGGTTCACCTAAAGCCAAAAGAAGTTAAGAGGGGTGCTTCCAAAATAAGGGGAGGGGGGCATGACAAGCCAGGAAAGGCCTGTGGCAAATACGCTGAGTGTCAGATGTGCCATCTTCATCTCTGCACTTTGCTGGCATCCTGTCATACATTGTTAGGGGGGAGGGAGTAATTGAAATGTAGAGAGTACAGATGATAGGGAAGCGGGGGGGAGGGGTGAGAAATGGCTATTCCACTCTTCAAGGACACTTAGCCTGGTATATGAACTGTACCAAGTGGCTTCAAACATCCAAGCTGTTCCCAAAACACCTACACAGCACGCCATTGGACAGAGATGGACTGGCCAAGGTGGAGAAGAGGGGAATAATATAACGCTTTGTGCAGGAACTTTAGATCTAGTCTTACTTTCACTGCAACCACTTAGCCTTAGTAAAAGTACCTGTCCCTTCAACCAAATGGAGTTGAGGGTCTTTCTTTCCTAGGGCAAAGGGCTGAGACAGGCCTGACATTGAGGCTCCCCCCACCTTTCAGGAGCATGAACTTCACACAAACTCTCTCAAGGTGGCATGGAGCTCACCTTGTAAGGCATGGACTCAAAGAAGATGGATGTGGCAGAGATTTTCTTCTTGTCGGTCATGAAGCCATGTGTGAGGTGACCCCCATCTGGCAGATCCAAGCCCATGATCCTCCCATGGGGCTCAACCAGGGCAGTGTACACGGCAAAGTTTGCAGGAGACCCTGAAACAAAGGCACACAGAGACAGCCACACTGAGTCATGTTCAAACTCTGATCGGTCCGATTAAAATAGCCATATTGTGTGCATATTGACTGCCACTGGCGGGCACTCTACGGTCCATTTCAGAAGAGCTTGCGAAATACCTGAATAGGGCTGGACGTTGACGCCCCACTTCTGTGGGTCTAGCCCATAGGCCTCCAGGGCTCTCTTCTGGCAAAGTCTTTCCAACTCATCGACAAATTCTGTCCCACCATAGTATCTAATAAAAAATAGATGGAAACTTTAGCCAAAGTTTCTCAATTTGTAGCAACCTTAAGACGTGTCGATGTGTAGAATTCCCCAGCCAGCTCTGGGGACCAATAATTCTGGAAATTAAGTGTCCTGTATCAACCACATGATTGGGGCAGGGGAAAAATAGTTTGCTCCTAGCATCCCCTTTGCAGGCCTTAGATGCAGGCTTGGGGGGGGGGCTTAGTCTAGTAGTCAAAGGGCCTTCTTCAGGTCTTCAACCCAGACCCCCTTTCTTCCCAGCCCCACCTTTGCCCCGGATATCCTTCTGAGTATTTGTTGTTCAGGCAGGAGCCCAACGCCTCCAGAACGGCTCGGCTGGCAAAGTTTTCAGACGCGATCAGCTCCAACCCAAGTCTCTGTCGCCTTTTCTCCTTCTTGATAATATCGTAGACCTGGGGAGGGTGAGAAAGAGGGCTTGCTGGAAGGGGTTGAGGGGGTGTCTATCTGGGGTTGGGGGCGGGAAGGCAGGGGGGCTAGGCATGCACACCCTTCCACAGAAAGGAAGTTCTCCACCACGAGTCCCCAGGCAGATTTAATTCCCCAACTGACTAAAATGTATGCCGTTCCTCAACCTCTTGTAATCCAAAGCAGATATAAAAGTAGGTTCTGAAGCCTTTTGGACTTATGGTACCAAACGGGGGAAAAAATGAAATTATGACATACAGATCTGGCATCTAGCAATATTTAATAGATAATTTAATAATCTATAAATATTGCTGGACTCCAGATTTATATCTGCTGTATTCCTTTCTGTATTGTTGTTCTTCTGTCTGCAATTTCTCTTTTTATTCTTTTCTAGTCTCTTTCTTGAACATTAGTGCTTGTCCGTTTATTACTTTTTCTGCCTCTTTGTAGCATCACAGTAACTATTTCTGAACCTTCCTTGTGGAAGATTTCTGAAGTGCAGATATAAAATTCCCTGAGTGAGTCAATTATAGCCGTTCAGGAAGGTGAACCAATATTCCTGTCACGCTCTTCCTGGATAGCCGGAGGGGAGAACGGGGGGGGCGTTCTCTGGAGTTGCCCACGTGAGCTGCACCAGCAGTGACATTGCAGCTCATCCCGGCTGTTTACTCAGAAGAACCACCGATTGCAACAAACCGACTTTGGAACAGGTCGTTCTTGCTGCTCTTATTCCCTACGCAAGGTTGAAATGTGTGTCAACCTGGAAGAGCTGAGCCAGCTTAAAAACTTTCAAATGAACGTCACACTGCCGGTCAGTGGCCTCTGCCCCCCCCCCCAGATCAATACATCTCCCTCCCAATTGAGGTCACCAGCCGAAGCAGCAGCGGGCGAACTGACAAGCGACCTACCTCGGGGTCATTGGTGTCCAGGGCTTCCATCACCATCTTGTTGTGGGAGAGCCAGAGGTTCTTGGTGACATGGTCTCCACCCGCGTTCGTGTTGGCCATGGCAGCTGGAAGTACTAGGAGCCTGCAAAAACTTAATTTTGTAAAAAAAAAACCACAGATGCTAGGTCTCACAAAGTATTTTGCAGTGTAGAACATTTTGCATTCCATTACTGCCCTCAAAAAGGAGTGTCTCTGCCTTGAATTTAGGCTATGATTTAAGAGGCAGGATTGGCTCTTCAAAAGAGAACTCTAAGACGGGAATCAATGCAAACCACAGAGAGTTATTTCAGTAGAGGGATGGATGATGTAAAATCTGATGAATGAATGAATGAATGAATGAATGAATGAATGAATGAATGAATGATGAATGATTCTAAACATCTAGTAAGCAAGGGGGGCAGATCTGCAGCCCACGTTGTGATGTTGTGGCTTGGTTCCCTATACCCAGTGGCCAGATTCACATGCCACACCAAACCACCAAGGGTGGTTTTGCCTCCTGCCTTGTCTGAATCTGGATGGTTTGGGCTGGAACAGGGCTTCATACCCTGGCCAACTTGTAAGACAGGTGGACTTCAACTCCCAGAATTCCCATATGCCAGGAACTGAAGTCCACCCATCTTTAAGTTGCTAAAGTAGAGAAAAATTGGTTTAGAGAGGATTGCGTGAATTCATCCCGATTTTTGTGCAGTGCACAGTGCTTTTAAGCAATCCTCTCTTTAGCATGTTGCGTGAATAGAGCCTTGGGGGGGGGGGATGGAGAAGGGAAGCAGGCAGCTGAATCAGGGTCTTTCTGGACAACAACCAAATCAGCAGCTGCAGAAGAAGAGATCTGGAGATGCCTCCCAGAGCAGGAGGCCCTAAAGCAGGACTGTCCAACATTAAGCAAAGCTGGCTGGGGAATTCCAGGAGTTGAAGTCCACAAGTCTTAAAATTGCCAAGGCTGGACACTCCTGCCCTAAGGGATGCCCTCCATGACAAACCCAGCAGCTCCCCATCACCTGACCCCAATCCGTCACTCCCTCCTGGAATTGCTGCCTAGACAAAGAAGGCTTGTCTTTGCCACTTCAAGTTATTCATTAACTTTTCCTAGGGGAGCAAAAGTCTCCGGGAAGCTCCCTGTCCTGCTGTAATCCAGTGTTGAAATTCTGCCTGGCGTCAAGTTCTTCCTAACTTTCCCTTGACAGGCCAGAGGCGGCAGGAACCCCATCGGATGTGAAGGGCACCAACCAGACGGACTGCCAGGCTGCAGGCAACTTTCTGCACAAAGCCTTTTTCGCTCAAGGCCTGTCCGGCATCTCAGGAGTGAATATGAATTTGGTGCACAGCTTCTAACGCTGCAACCCTGCAAATTGACATTATAATCGGGCAGCTTCACTGCCGTTATCACCTTATTTATTTTGTGTAGCCACCTGTCTCGCTGTCTCCTTGCCAAGGAGGGGTTTTTTTTTAAAATCCCCTCTGCGCACGGTAGGCAGATTGCCTTCTAATCCATGTTTTCCAGGCAGGAGAAAAACAGGCTGATCCAGAGGCTGCGTCCTAAAGCTCCCAACGACCTGCAACCGCCCCGAGCTGAACATGACAGCCCGGCAGGGCTCCGGGCCTCTGGTTTTGCAACAGCCAAGGGAGGCAGGGGAGAGAAAGCAAGCGTGACCTGTTGAATTTCCGCCTGCTATGCAGAGAAGTAGCCCTGCAGGAAAGGGCGAGAGATCCTACAGAAAAAAAGGAGAAGGTTTCTCCTCCCCCCCCCCGCAACCCCCGCAAATCCTAACACTTACCGGGATCCTCGGTGCAACGGCGGACGCCCCCGCGAAAAAGAGGCGCCTCCCTGCAGACTCCGGGCTTAAATCCACGAGGCCCCGCGCGCTCGGGGGATGGAACGTTCAGCACTTTCTGTCCCGCGCCGCAGCCAATCAGCGCGCTCGCCTGGCCCTCCCGGAGGAGTCTCTCGCAGCGCGTCACAGCCAATCGGGATAAAGCAGCTCGGCCCGCCTCCCGCGCGCTCCTCGGCATCGGTGGCCCCGCGCGCGCAAAGAGGTGCGCGGGTGGCGCAAGATAACTCGGGATTCCGCGGTCTGAGATTTTTTTCACTTGTTCTCCAGAGAGCTCAGATCAAAATAACAATCCCAGAAGAAAAGTTCCTGCCTGTATTCATTATGCACTTGCCCCATCTGGAAGCCACATTGTAAGATCCTCTTTATTTGTGGGACTGGATTCCCAGGCTGTTGCTCCATCCCTGCACCCCAAAAGGGTCTTCCGAGGATTGGCTGCAAATTAGTGCAGTAATTAAGCAATAAAAGAGATGAGCAGAAAGGCTGCTCTTTTAGGGCACGCTCCATTCAGTAAAATTTATGGTTTCTCAACCTTGGAAAAGTTGTGTGAACTTCCAACTCCCAGAATCCCCCAGCCAACAGGTTCTGGGAGTTGAAGTCCACACATCTTAAAGTTGCCAAGTTTGGGATATGCTGCTTGTGAATCCTTGCATTTGGAACCAATTTGTCACGTCTTTGCTCATGTTTTAGATGTCTTTTATCTCACCTTTATTATTTTTATAAATAACTCCAGAGGTGAAGATGCACAGCGTTCCTTCCTCCTCCCATTTTCCCATAGCAACAACCCTGTGAAGTGGGCTGGGCCAAAGTTACCCAGCTGGCTTTCATGCCTAAGCCTGGACTTATTAAGTATTAATAATTCTGTATTAAGGTTCACTTAATAAAGCAGCTTCTTTCCATTCTTGTAAATGCAGCCAGGTGATATAAGCCTCCGCCACCAATGAGCTGCGTTCCAATAAAGTTGCAGCTTGATTTTTTTTTTAAAAGGCTTAAAGTTCCATTAAGTAACAGATTGAGGAAGGAGAGGTGGAATAAATTAAATAAATCAAATTCCCCTAAAGTCACACTTATGGAAAGAAGAAGGAAAATCTTCAAGCCACTCTGAATCACCGCTGGGAAGATCCCTCTCTTCCAAATGGACAGACAAAATGCGATACGGTGGTGGTAGCAATCCAGAAGTCGATCCAGGAGAGACATCAGTCAGAAGAGGCAAAAAGAGGGGTGAGTTTTCCCATATATCCCCCCCCCCAGAGGAGGGGAGAAATAGAGGAAAAAGAACAGAGTAAGAATGTTGGAGGATCTGTGACAGCTTACAGGAAAAGAGAGGGAGGAAACTGAGTTTTAAAAAAATCAAAGGGAGCAAGGGAAATCAATATATTAACAATAAAATTAAAAAGGGGTTTTTAATCCCAACTGGAGCCAGCCTAGAAATCAAAGCTAACGTGGAACAGAAATAGGGGAGAATGCTGGAAAACACGAGCCACAATATTCCTAAATTAAGAAAAGCAACGAACAATAATGTGTTGCATAATATCCAAATAAAATTAGTGTTGTAATTGCTGTTAGGCCAAATTTTGCTTCAGCCCAAGTTTGGGAATCATGTCCTTCCCGTTTGGATTGCTTTTCTTCATAATTTTTAAACCGTTCTTGGCCACCTTCAGGGTTCTCTTCTCCAAATGGAAAACATCTCCCGCTCATCCTTCCTGACCCCATCCACTGCGGGGCCCGAGAAGATCACCTCTTCAGCCCCGGACCCCTCCCAGGGCATCGAAAGGACCCTGCATCTTCTCTCCATCGTGGTCTATGGGGTGGCCTGTCTGCTGGGGGTGACCGGGAACGGCCTGGTCATCTGGATCGCCGGCTTCAAGATGGAGAAGACGGTGAACGTGGTCTGGTTTCTCAACCTGGCGCTGGCCGACTTTGTCTTCACCTTCTTCCTGCCGCTGAGCATCGCCTACACGGCCCTGGGCTTCCACTGGCCCTTCGGACGTTTCCTCTGCAAGTTCAACAGCTGCCTGGCCTTCCTCAACATGTTCGCCAGCGTCTTCCTCTTGACCGTCATCAGCCTGGACCGCTGCCTCTTGGTGGTCCTGCCGGTGTGGTCCAGGAACCACCGGAGGCCCCGGCTGGCCTGGGCCATCGCGCTGGTGACCTGGGTGGCCGCCTCGCTCATCAGCTCCCCGTACTTCCTCTTCCGAGACACGGCCCCGAGTGCGAGGAATGTCACCAGTTGCTACAACAACTTTGCTCTCTCCAATAACTACACCAGTGAGGAAAGCCGGAGGCTGTGGAGGAGGAGGCACAGAGCCATGATCCTGGCCCGGTTCGTCTTTGGCTTCCTGTTGCCCTTCACGGTGATCGTGGTCTGCCATGGCATGGTGGCTTTCCAGCTGCAGCGCAGGCGCCTGGCCAAGTCGCCCAAGCCTTTGCGGATCATCGCGGCCGTGACGGCCTCCTTCTTCCTCTGCTACTCGCCCTACCACGTCCTCTCCTTGCTGGAGATGTCCAAGACGTCCGGCAGTCCGGTGGTCAAGCGGGTGCTGCACCTGGGTGTCCCGCTGGCCTCCAGCCTGGCCTTCTTCAACAGCTGCCTCAACCCGCTTCTCTACGTCTTTGTGGGGCAGAAGAGCTTCCGGCGGTCCGTGCGGGGAGCTTTTGAGGGGGCCTTCGGGGAGGACGCCCTCCTGTCCTTGTCCAGCAAGAGGAAGTCCCGGGCCGCCTCCCAAACGGAGATCCGGATGGCTCAGCCGGGAAACCAAGTTGAATAGACGATGCGGATGAAGAACGAGGGGTCCTCTTTGATTTCTGTTGTACTTCGGGTCCGGCAATGGCCAGCTGGACCCAGCTGTTCTTGGGGTCAAAGATTTGAATTGACCAAGAGGTGGGCTCCTGTTCAGGGGCCCCTTCCGGCCCTCGACCCATGCCCAGAAAACATTTCTTTGTGCACATGCTAGTGGCAATAAAGTTACTTTGCGGTATTTTTATGTAGTGCAATTGTTGTGATGGACCCCCCTGCCCCCCCAATCCCACCAGGTTTGCCAGGAATTCCCCCCATGCCTGAGCAAGCCCAGGCATGGGCTTGGGAAGGGGGGGCACCCCTAAGCGGCCAATCCCCCTTGCAAGAAGAGTTTTGTAGCCCGCGGGGCGGGGGTTCAATGGCATCTTGATTTGGGGAGGGGTCCCTTGGTGAATTTAAGCGCCAGACATCCCCATGGGGGTGTTTGGAGGAGACCCCCAACCCCACTCCTTTGAAATGGACGGCAAGGTGCGCGTTGCGGAGCTTTCCGTGCAGCTCAATCTCCCTTTTTCCGGGCAGAAGCCCCCTCCCTCCTCGAAACAACGACCCCGCGAGGATGGCCGCTGCTGCCTCTGAGAGGATGGAGAAGGCAGGGCTCGGGATGGGCTCAGGGGGCGGGACCGGACGCTGCTGGCGGCTCTGATTGGCGGAGAACCGCGGGGGGCGGAGCTTGACCCGCCCCGCCGCCATTTTGCCGCCGCCGCCGCCGCCGCCGCGCCAGGCCGGCCGCGGGGCGCAGGTGGGTGGTGGTCGCCGTGGGGACGCGCCCCCCTCCCCTCCCCCCACCCCGCCACGGGGAGGGGTCGCCAGGCGGGGGAGAGCCGAGCAAGGCCGGGCGGACGCGAACCCGGAAGATGCACGTATGAATGCCGCCCCCTCCTCGCCTCTCCACCCCTCCCCTCCCTCCCTCCCCCGGGCGAGGGGGGGACCTTCAGGGGTTGGGGTGGGGGGTCTCGCCCTCCTTCCTGAGGGGTTTGTGGTGGGGGCTCGTGGCCTGGGTGCAAACTGGGGAGCATCCCTTTCCCTCAATATCGGCACGGGCGGTATTAATTCGAATAGAATATTAATCATTAATTCCATTTTGGGGAGCTTGAGGGGGGGGCTGTCTGTGCTGCCCCTCCCCAAATTAACCCGGAAGGAGCCTTAGATTGTCTTACTCCATGGGATATTCTCCATTCTGCCTTTCCGTTGCAAATAAATGGGCTTGCTTCTGTCTGTGCTGTCTCTACAGAAATTGGAAAAAAAAAAACCTATAATATGCTATGCTATGTTAATTTAATTATATTATAGATTTCCTGTAGCCTCGTGCAGACATATGAGTCTGGGCTGCCCCTCCAAATTGCTGGCAGAGGGATATTAGTGCTATTCCTCCATAGCATGTTCCTTATTCTACTCTATAATCCAATTACGGTGCCTTATATTATAGAGCTCCTGCGGGTTCACTTGCACGTATGCATGCTTGTCCTGCCCCTCCAGGAACTAAATGGGAAGGACCATATTATTTTATTTATTTACACGTTTCTATAGTTGCCCATTTCATAAGGAAGTGACTTTTATTATAGCTCCTTGTGGGATTGATAGTGTCTGCTTTTCTTCTGGAAACTAAATTGCAAAGGGCAGTAGGTGGGGGGAATCATATAGCTTTCCTGGGGGGGGGGAGTGTTTTGTAGAGACATTCATAGATGCCTCGCTACCTCCCCCAAAGCTGATCTATATTACATTATCCTATATGCTTTTATATTTTATTATGCATATATCGTAATGTGTCTGCTTAAATGCACCAACATGTTTTTGTTATAGCATCCTTTGATTTCATGGAGCGGGGTGTCTTTCCATCTCTCATGTCCCCCCCCCTTGTGTTGCTTACCTGGCCCCCCTGAAAGATGGCTTTTAGGGGGCTTCTGCACAGCTGGGCAGCCCTTTAATGGGAGCAGATGAGGGTCCCATCCCTAATTCCATAGACCCTGGTTTAATTGGGCGTTGCTTTTTTCAGAGGGGAGGGTGACCTTGCATGCACCTCCTCTCCCACCCCTCTGTTTGAAATCCTGGGAATTGGGCTTTTCAAAATGAAATTACAGTGGGTGCAACTGGTGGAGATACAGTGGGGAGATGCTGTGGGGAGAGAAAGTGCAAACGGGCGGGGGGGAGTGAACAGTGTTGGAAGGAGGGATGCATGAAGCCTTGGTAGCATGTCCTCTCAAAAGGGTTGCACGGTTTGGGGGTTGGAAAGCTTCCAAGCAACAGCTGAAAAGCAACAACTTTGGCATCCAGAGACAGTGGTAGGAGGGGGACATTTCCTGGAAATACTAGAGGCTGGATGAAAACCCACCCTGCAAGATGGCCACCCATTTCTGGAGAAAGTGCTGAGTGTTTCTGCGATGTCACTTGGACTTCAATCCAGCTCCATAGAGGTTGGACTTTTCCCTCCCAGTGGCCAGACAGCTTCGCCCATTCATGTTGTTTACAGTCTGGTGGACGCCTTTTCTTCTGAAGGGGTTTTATTTCCCTGCAGAATTTGAATTTGCAACTGGGTTTGGGAAGGGACCAGAATGGATGGTGACTTTTCTCTGTTGCCCATTACCTGTTGCCATGTCCCACCAGTGAAACCCCTCAAAAAAATCTGAGGGGAAGGGAGAAGATGGATTGTGACCCCGATGGCCTTCAACCAGGTCTAGATCTGCCTTTGCTGTTTTACAGCCTCTCTGCCTTGGCTCACTTTTATTTTATTTCTGTGTGCCTTTTATTTTTCATGGTTTTTTTTTTCCTGTCGGTCACTTTTACAGCTCCGTGTGCAATTTTCACTAGAGGTCTGCTTCCCGCCTGGGTCAGGCTCTGGTCCTTGCACATCCAAGGCTGTGTGTTCCTCAGATTGCTTTCTTGCACTTTTTCCTCGTGCTGTGGCCTGCAGCCATGTTTCTAAATCCAGACAGAGCCCATAAATTTTACAACACCTGCCCTGCGCACCTGGTCCCTCCTGTGCCAAGGGGCAGGAAAAACCTGCTTGCGACTTGAAATATCCATTACTGTCAAATGAACAAAAAAGAAAGCTTCTCCCTGGTGAACAGGAATCTTGTGTATTTCACCAGATGGATACTCTCACTGATGGGCAAGGAAGAGGGTGCTTGTGCTGGATTTTAGCACACCCCTTGTTTAAATTATATTTAGAGAGAGGAATCATGGAGTTCAAAGAGCTGGCAAGTCGTCTGGAAAACAAGATAGAAATAACAGCGTCTCTCTTTCTCTCCCTCCCCAAGAGGGACTGGCAATTCTCTCTTCTGAGATGCTGTGAAATACAGCTTTTTTGGACCCCAGGACCAGCTGACTCCAAAGCAGATCCCAGGAAGGAAGCGGAATGGGTCTCCTGATCCCTTTCTGGGGGAACCTACTGTGAAAAACCAGGCTTGATTACAGGAGAATCCCAAAACGACCTTTAGAAAGATACTTGCCTTGAAAGAGACCCACCATGTAGAGATTTTATTACTCCATGGGCCGAACTCCCAGAATGCCCTCTTGGTGCTGCTTCCCCTCAAGCTACTGATCCAGTCGGTCCACCTGTGGGTTTGCATGGCTACGAAGTTAACCCTGGCTTTTATTTTACCAATTCATCCTCGCCCTGCGGCTTGCTTGCAGCTGCCAGCTATCCTTGCCCCCCAGAAGACCTGTGCCATTTGAAGTTGCCGTTGGCGCCTTTGTCACAAGACCCTGCTTTTGGTTGTGCGTTGTGGTTTTCATTCTCCACTGCATTGTCGCTGCTGCCTTGCAAAGGAAGATCTTCCTCTTTGGAGGAGTGTTTTGCCAGGCGGGTTTTATGATTCTTGTGGCCTTTCGTATTTTCCCCTTTCAAACGGCTGCCTGCTAAGGGAGAAGAGGCCGATTGGTGTATTTGAACGGAGAAGGCAGAGTGGCTTATAAAGCGTGAAAGAGATTTTCCAAACTCCTTTGGGCTGCAGACCTAAACAAACAGAATATTTTTGGTTTGCCCGGGAGACAAGACTTAAGAAAAAATACTTTTGTAATGTTGTTGGCCAGAATTGGATGCAGTTCTGATATATTTCTTTTCTCAATAGCTGCCACAATCAAAGTGGCAGTTTTCGTGTTAGGATCTGTAGATCTCTTATCGGTCAGACAGTTCTGGATTGTAGCACAATTTGTACATTCTGCCTCCTGTCAGGAGTTGGCAAACTAATCCTCTCTGAGTAATAAATTTGGCATTGGATGATGTCCTGGGACGGGACTGGAGTACATTTTAAGGAACACTCATTAGATTTGGCACTTTTTCTAAGCCTAATCCAACACTTGCTGGCGGGTGACTGGAGTTATTTCCTGCTTTTGGTTTTTAAAGATAGTAAACAGATTTCTTAAATCAGAGCTGCTTTTATATATATCTTCTTTTTCCGCAGGTGCTTAAAAACAACGTTCTAGAAGACTGAAGTGTGGTGGGCTGATTTTCCTAAACCCTTTTCCTGGATCACATCTTTATTTGTAAGTGCAAAAGCTGGGAGTGCTTTTCTGAGATCGGAAACAGCCATAGAGAGAAAAAAATGCTGAATTAACTGTTGGTTATTGTGTGTAGACTCTTTAAGCATATGCTAGGCTTTGGATTCAGAACATCGCACCTCTGTGGTGGAGCCTAAATCTGTTGGTTGGAAAGGTTTAAGGTTTAGGTTACTGGACTTGCTTTTATTCATCCCTGGTTCCTATGGCTGCTGTGGCCTTCAGATTCTTAAGCTGCTGGCAAATGAGGTTCCTTGTGATTATAAATGAGGTTTCTGCTCAGATAGGCATAGCTTGTGTTGCTGGGTGGTGTTAAGGCCCTCTAAATCAGTTGTTTCTTAACCTCAGCCACTTTAAGATGGGTGGAGTTCAGCTCCCAGAATTCCCTAGCCTGCTCTGCTCTGCTGGCTGGGGAATCTTGGGAATTGCATTCCACCCATCTTAAAGTGGCTGAGGTTGAGAAACATTGCTTTAAACGCTGCAGGGGAGACCTCTCAAAGTCCTATTGCAGAAACTCTTGAAATGCAAGATGTCAGTCTTGATGTTGTAACTTTTGCTTGGTTGAGGGTTGCTGAGAAGTTCTTGGTGGGTTTTTTCTTTTCTCAGTATATCCGAAGGCGGGACGACAAAGGCCGTTTTGATGTTTTGTGTGGCACCCGTTGGACCAGGGCCCATCATGAACGTCATGAAGGGAGGCCTGGTCCTGTTCTCGGCCAACTCCAACCCCTCCTGCATGGAGCTGTCCAAGAGGATCGCTGAGTAAGGCTCCCTCCCCTACTGCTCTGTTCTTTTTCCTGACTGTTTTCAACAGTAGAGTTGCTGGATGGGGGAATTCTGGGAGTTGAAGTCCGTACCTGCTGGATCCTTTTCCTCTTTGTGACTTGCTTTCTCTTGGATCCTTTTGTAGGCGCCTGGGGGTAGAGATGGGCAAGGTTCAGGTGTACCAGGAGGCAAACAGAGGTGAGTAAGGGACCCCTGTGGCCTCAGGAGCTGAAGGTTGAAGGAGGAGGAGCAACCAGTTCATTAAATGTCTCCTCCTTCCCTGCGGCACAGACACAAACACACTTTTGGGAGAATCCTGTCGTTTGCAGCGATGCCCGCTTGTTCTGATTTTCAAAAACCAGATGAGGTCCAGCAGTGTTGTTGTGGGATTTCAGTTTACACTGCGCTTTGATGTAATATACTTCACACGTGTGTATAAGTCATGAGCACATCTGGTGTTTTGTTTTTGTTTTTGTTTTTTGGCAGAAACGAGGGTGCAGATTCAAGAGTCCGTCAGAGGCAAAGATGTCTTCATTATCCAGACCGTTTCGAAGTGAGTCCGAGCGCTGACGGGAAATGAGTCCCCTCGAATCAGCCTGCTTATCTGCCCTGGTCATGCTTGCGAAATGATACTTTATTTTTACAGTTTGTGTTGTGTATTTCGCAATGTCCCCTGATACGTGAACGTGTTGGTATTCCAAGGAACTGTTTGGAGCAGTGAGGGCCGGGGGGATGATGGGCAGGGGGGAGGTGAAGCTGATCCACAAGGTGCAAAACAGCAGCAGACAAGCAGGAAGTGCCAGGCTCCGTGGGGGGGGGGGGGACGGTTGCCGGACTCGCCTTTTTTCCTCCCAGGGACGTGAACTCCACCGTCATGGAGCTGCTGATCATGGTCTACGCCTGCAAGACCTCCTGCGCCAAAAGCATCATCGGCGTGGTCCCCTACTTCCCCTACAGCAAGCAGTGCAAGATGCGGAAACGGGGCTCCATCGTCTCCAAGCTCCTGGCCTCCATGATGTGTAAAGCAGGTGAAGAGCTGGGAGCAGGCACCTCCTTCGCCCTCACCCGCCTTGGCTGCCCAGGACACGCCCGCCCACAGCCGCCGCGGGGAAGATGGGCCCTGCCCCACTGGAGGGGGGAGACCTTCTGCCCAGAACTCGGCAGGGGGGCCTGACAGAGCTCCCTGGTGGGGATGGCCAGGCTCGATTTGTGAGTGGTGAAGGGCTGGGGCTGTCCTGTGTGAGTCAGCCTCAATTATTTAACCAAGCGCTGGAAAGAAGCAAAGAGGCATCAGGGCTGCTCACGTTCTGGGCAGTGTTGAGGAAGAGAAATAAGAGGAGATGCAGTGAAAATGCAGGGATCTGCCCACCAGCCATGGGTTGATCCCCAGGATGGAGCCTCCCCTCGGCCATGGGAACTTTGGGCCAGCTGCATTTTCTTAGTTTGGCCTCCCTTGTAGGATGGTTGCTGTGGGGGCAAAACAGGCAGAAGGGCTGGGGTCTGCTGCCTTGAATGTCTGGAGGAAAGACGAGATCTGGACCCAGCAAACATTTTAATTTTAGATATGTAGATACTAACTATTCAGATTATTTAAAGTGTGCCTCCTGATGGAATCCAGAGCTAGTCCAGGGTGCATTTCTAGCGTCTGTCACACCTGCTGGCAACTTTCCCCAATCTGGTCCTTTCCTGCCCATCATCCCCAGCCAGCCTGGCATTAAATTTACTGGGTTGGGAGGGGAGGACCGGCCTGTTGATCCCCTCCTTGGTGAAGCAGCCTCTTCTTATTCCCGCTGCCTCCCCAAAGGGCTGACTCACCTGATCACCATGGATTTGCACCAGAAGGAAATCCAGGGGTTCTTCAACGTCCCGGTGGACAACCTGAGAGCATCACCGTTTTTGCTGCAGTACATCCAGGAAGAGGTGAGCCAGGCCTCTGGGCCTCCGGGCTGGGCAGCTGCAGGGGATGATGGGGCTCTCAGTGGAACCTGTCCTAAACTGGGGAAGGGGGTAGTGGGTGTGGGTGTGTAAAGACCCCCACTCCTTTTAGGACGGATGTGAAAAATTAAGGCCTCGGGAGAAGGCAGGCCAGGGGTCAGCCACTGAGTAATCTCTAGGGCTTAGATGGCCCCGAGTCTCCTCTGCCTGGGGGGCTTTGCAGCTTGGAATCTGGGAGATTGGGAGGTGGAGAGGAAGCGCCCCTGTTTTGTGCTTCCGCTCTCTGCAGAAGAAGGGACACGGCCCACCTGAATCGTCCCTTTTGTAGTCAAGGTAAAAGGCCAGCCCTGAGTGTGGTTGTGCTGCTTTTCATTGTGCAGATCCCAGACTACAGGAACGCTGTGATTGTGGCCAAATCTCCTGCATCTGCGAAGAGGTAGGTGGGTCCCTGACTCCCTAAGACCATCTAGTCTTTCCCCAGAATTCAGTAGGGCAGGGATGCCCCACCCGGGCAACTTTTAAGACCTGTGGAATTCAACTCCCAGAATTCCCCAGCGAGCCATGAAGTCCACAGGTCTTAAAGCGGCCCAGGTTGCCCCCCCCTTCCCCACTCTAGGGGACGATGCTCCTTCCCTGAAGACGCCAGAGGAGTCTCTGTGTGTCCTGTGTGTGTGGGGGGGGGTTCCTTTCCTCGCGTCTGTGTCCGTGCCAAGAGCATGGTGGGCTCTTTGTCCTTCTCGGCAGGGCGCAGTCGTTTGCCGAGCGCCTGAGGCTGGGCATCGCCGTGATCCACGGAGAGGCTCAAGATGCCGAGTCTGACCTGGTGGACGGGCGCCATTCACCCCCAACTGCCAAAAGCGTTGCCGCCATTCACCCCAGCTTGGAGATGCCCAGTAAGCAAAGCCTCGGGCAGGGAGAGATGGCATCCCCTCCAGTAGGCTATTATCCATGGCTTTCTGGGGGGGGGGGAACCCACCTGGTTTGGATGGCTGTGCTCAAAGGAGGGAGGGAGAAGCCGTGACTGGGACATGTGAGTGGAAGTGTGAATGGCCTTGGAAGGAGGAGGAAGAGATGCTGAACAGGGAGGGGTCGGATAAGGGAGGCCGCAGCCCTCAGCTGTGTAACGGGCAGAGGCAGAAATTCAGAAAGGAACCCTTCCAACGTCTCGGGCTCCAGAAGAGATGGCGGGAGATTTGTGCTGCTGAAGTCTGAAGATGGGTCCTTGATCAGAGCAAGGTTGGCTGGGCAGGCCTTCCTCCCTGGGGAGGCCTTTTGCAGCGGTTGAGGCAGAAACCCCCACGCCTGCTTTCTCTCTCCTTCCTTCTTTTTTGTCAGTGCTGATTCCGAAAGAGAAGCCGCCCATCACGGTGGTTGGAGACGTTGGGGGACGAATAGCCATCATCGTGGTAGGTCGGCCTGGAGGCCTGCGGGGTTCAGAGGCTGCCTGTACAAGAAGAGGAGGGGGCGCTTGGGGTGATTAAGAGCCCTGGCAGCACAGGGGTTAGAAGGTGCAGGACTGCAGGCTAATTCACTGACCACTGCCAGGAGTTCGATCCTGACCAGCTCAGGGTTGACTCAGCCTCCCGTCCTTCCGAGGTCGGTAAAACGAGGACCCAGATTGTTGGGGCCAGCAGGCTGTAAAGAGAGGGCTGTAAAGCGCTGTGAAGCGGTATACAAGTCTGGGTGCTGTCAGGCTAAGCTCCCTTTTTTATTCCTCGGTACTTTAACTTTCCCTGCACACAGGTGCCGGGGGGATATGGTCAGAAAAGTCAAGATAGCAGCTGCCAATGATGGGATGGAGGGTCCCCCCGTGGGAGGCAGATTAAATCTCACCTCCCCCCCCCCCATGACATCCTTGTCTCCCCGATCAGGACGACATCATTGACGACGTGGACAGCTTCCTCGCGGCCGCCGAGACCCTCAAGGAGCGGGGGGCCTATAAGATTTTCGTCATGGCCACCCACGGCCTCCTCTCCTCCGACGCCCCCCAGTTGATAGAGGAGTCGGCAATCGATGAGGTGGGCCATAGCCTGTCCGGCCAAGCAGCTGCGTTTGGCAGCTGAGCAGTTGGGGAAGGCCCTGGGTTCGAATCTCCCGCCCCCTGGTCTCAGCTCCTGCTTCTACAACGTCTGGGCCTGGATGCCCAAGTAGCAACGTAGACCGGTGTTTTTAAACCTTGGCAACCTTTATGATAGGTGGACTTCATCTCCCAGAATTCCCCAGCCAGCCAAGCCAAGTCCACACACCTTCAAGTTGCCAAGGTTGAGAAACACTATCTAAGGACCTTGCAGACAGGGTTAATAATTGCCTGGCACGAGGCCTGCAATCCTCACCACTAATGTCATGATTTGAACCCATATTCTTGCAGGCTCAGGCCTAGAAATTTGCCCAGTTGGTTTAGCTGGTGGTCTCCTTCCTTTCAACACCCATAAAGGGTTCAAATTTAGCCTGTTGAATCATGGAGCTCTTTGGTGACTGGGGAGCAGTGCAGCCCACCTCCCTCTGCTGGGCAGGGAAGAACCCCCTGTCACCCTCCCCCCCCCATGAGCTCTCGGAGACAAGGCAGGATCAAAATAGGATGGATAAATTAAATTAAATGATTTAAAATAATCTTCTCTGTCGTTTGATTCATGGCGATCCATTCCAGGCCAAATACAACAGCTTTGTCCAGTTTTGCAAGGGGGTTGAGACCTCAACTCCTGGAGTGGCTCTTCCTCCTCCCCCCCCCCCCCCCAGTAACTTCTGATCTCTGCTTTTTTTTCAGGTTGTGGTGACCAACACTGTTCCTCACGAGATCCAGAAACTGCAGTGCCCCAAAATTAAGACGGTGGACATCAGCTTGATCCTCTCGGAGGCCATCCGCAGAATCCATAACGGGGAATCCATGTCGTACCTTTTCAGAAACATAGGACTAGATGACTGACCGTTTCTTGGGCAGGCTTGAAGAAAAAAAAAGAAGATTTTTTTAGGGGCCAAACTGGACACGGGACAGAAACCCAGCTGTGAAACTTTTTGTGGCTTAATCTTTGTATTTCGGTGGGACCCCTTTTTTTTATTAGATCGCTTTTATTTTTCCCTTTCTTTCCGGTGGTTTAAATGGAGTAGATAAAATTCTCAGAGCTATTTTCCTTTTGTTTTTAAAAAAGAGAAAGGATTTTATAAAAAGTTCAACACCCCCCCCCCTCTTTTTAACTTCTAGAGACGGTCAGGTTAGCTGTGCTATTTTGCAGGACAGACCCCCGTGTGGAGTTTTTTCTCTCTGCTCCAGCTTCATTGCAATGAATCCAAGTTTGGAAACTTGACCCATTGATGGTTTTCCTCTTTTTGGGGGTGGTGGGGGTTGGGGTGATTTTGGCGGCAGGACGGACTGCACCTCCAGGGCATTTATTTCTAACATGGATCCAGAATTGGGATGGACCCTTGTTCATAGACTCTTTTGTCCCAGATAATATGAAGAGCCTTGCACTCCATAGAGCAGTGTTTCTCAGGCTTGGCCACTCAAAGATAGGTGGACTTCAGCTCCCAGAATCCAAGCTGGCTAGGGAATTCTGGGACTTGAAGTCCATCCATCTTAAAGTGGCCGAGCTTGAGAAGTACTGCCGTAGAGCTTAAGATAAAGGCACCCATGTCAGACTCATCTACTTGTCACGTGAAAACAGCCACTTTGCAGAAGACACAGTTGCACATAAAGGAAGGAAATGAACGGAAGCAGCTGTTTTCATAGGAGTTGAATCCTGGGAGTTGAAGTCCACCCATCTTAAAAGACTGCTGTAGCGTTTGGGATGAAAGCACCCATGTCAGAGTTGGCTACTCGTCCTTGAAAACAGCCGCTTCTATTCATTTCCATCGTTCGTGTGCATTTTTATGTATCTTCCCATGCGATTCACACAAGACGCTTTCTGCGTTATTGAAGGACAAGGTAGCCCATAATCCTCCTTCCTGCTCCTCCCGGCTTGCTTTCAAGTGCTTTTGTGCATTCGACAAACGGTAGCTACGGCATCGCGTTTGTTTTCCGAGACCAGCCAAACAAGAAAACCGCACCATTGTACGCAGTTCCGTGATGTTTTTTTTTTGTAACCATGCTTTTATAGGAAAACAACCATAAGGAATGTGCACTGGTATTTATTCCCTGGCACAAATAAAATGACTCTGTTTTTGCGTGAGCTTCTTAGGAAATATTTCTTTGATTGTTGTCCTCTCTTTGGTGTTGTGATGTTTTCTTAGCTGAGCACAAGAGAGAAAAATAGGTGGATATGAAAAAAAAATTGAGACCGTTTAACATCTAGTGAATTCTAACCTCCCAACTGAATTCAGATGCTGGGGAGAGATGCATCTCTGAAATTTTCTGCCCAGCCATTCTGGAGTTTCTGGAATGTTTATTTTGACTTTTCAATCTTGTCTACAACCTTTGGGTCTCTTGGTGGCCTCCCATCCAAGAACTGATTGGCTCTGCAGATCAGTTATTTTAAGTCTATTGAAACCAGATGTTTGGCGCATCTAATGCCCATTAACTCACCGCCCAAGGCTGCAAAATAGCAATTTTCTATCTCTTCTGTGTGTCTCAGATGAAGGAGGCTCTGCGTCCAGCCCTCCAGGGTTAGACTTTAACACGGCCGCTTATTAAGCGATGCCACAAGCAAATGAAAAGGTTGACACATTAACAAGGCATGTCAACGTTTGCAAGAGAGATGGACAGTGGACAGGATGAAAAAGAAGGAATTACAAGATTGGGCTGAATGTGGCTCTGATCTCTAAAATGAAAGAATGGATCTCATGATCAAATATGCAACCATGAAGAGATCTACTGTTCTTCCCTGGACGTGTGTTTGTTTGAAATCTTATAGCAATGCTTTTCAAAGGCTCTAGCCATCTTTAAGGCTATGCTTCTCAATCTTAGCTTCTTGGATGAGAAACGAAACATCTTCAAGGGGAAAAAATTGCAAAAACCAAGAAAAAAAACACCTTTGGGGCAACCGTGTCCTTGGATGATGGAGAATCCCCACAGACATCCAGGGGTGAATGGAAGCAGGTCCAACCTTGGCTTCTGATCATTAGAAGGAACGAGGCTTCTGGCCAGTGGGTCAAATCTGAGGCTGCTCTAGCTGAAACGTGGGCAGCCTCTGAGCCCTGGAGGAAGGTGGGGGTGTTCCACCACTTGCTGGCTTAATGATCAATTCCCTTCGGCTGGGAAGCAGCTAGAAGGAAGCCACCGTGATCTTGAGACTGAGGCACGGCGTCCATCCATGGAGAACAATTCCCACGTAGAAATGCCCGCTCTTTCGCCGCAATTTGGCGTTCCGGATCTGGTGGTGGTGGTGATATATTTCCTTTTGAACCTGGCAGTTGGCATCTGGGTAGGGTAGCCTCGTTCTTTAAGCTGACCCCTCTGAATTCACTCGGAGTGGGTATTAATTTATGGAAGCTGCAGGTGCTCCCCGAAAAGGCCCGTCTCTTGAGACGCCCTTTCTTAAAGTGCTGTTTTTAATCCTGGGATAGCATCGTATTATAGGGTTAGATTATGTTTTTTTTTTTAAATTGGAGCTAATTTGCAGCCTATTTAAAAAAAACAAGAAGAGAGGGAGGAAGAGAGAAAGGAGTGGGTTGGTGGTCTTGGGTAATAATATAATTGATTGAAAAACATGACCTCAGACAGTCTAGACTGAAATGAACTAATAAACAAGAAAATCAACAAAATAGGGGCCATTAAAGAAAGAATAAAGGTAATAAATAAAAAAGGGGTGAGGGATTCAGCTGGGTATTTGGAAAGCAGGGAGGGAGGCGAGGCAGGGCTAGAAAAGAGGTGATGGGGAGACTGAAAAGACAGATTGAATAAATCTCACCCCTTTCCTGGCTCAATTTTCTCTTTCCCTTTGCAGGCGTCATGGCGGGCAAGTAGGAACAGCGTGAGTGGCTACTTTCTGGCTGGAAGGAACATTGCCTGGTGGCCGGTGAGTAACTCCAACTGGGTGTAACTGATTCCTACTGGTTTCTTGCAAGGAATATGAGTATATATTTGTTGCTTTTATATCTGTCATCTGTGTCTATCATAGCTGGCTGGGAAAGTCTGTGAGTTGAAATTACTTATCTTAAAATGACCAAGGCAGAGAAACAGTGAGATCTCTCTCTCTCTCTCTCTCTCTCTCTCTCTCTCTCTCTCTCTCTCTCTCTCTCTATCTATCTATCTATCTATCTATCTATCTACCTATCTACCTATCTATCTATCGTATCATCTACTACCTGTCTATTTTACAAGATGACTCCAGACAGCACAGAGGAACACCAATGATTTACATATTTTACAGAGCCGATTAAACCGATCCAGTTAATGATTAAAGCCAGGAGTCACATTTTTCGGTTTGCTCTGTTGCTTTAATAGGTTAGTGGGGCAGCTCGTGACACCGGGATGCGCAGGGTAGCACCCTGAGCAAATAATAATTTAACGCAAGCCGCCGAGAGTCTCTTTGGGTAGTGAAATGGGCAGCACAGAGATTTAATAAGTAAATAAAATAAAACAACGGAGGGCTTTATTCTTGCCATTGTTTGGCAGAGTCCGACCGCGGTGCTTTCCCCTTGCAGATCGGTGCCTCGCTCTTCGCCAGCAGTGAAGGAGCAGGCCTCTTCATCGGGCTGGCCAGCAGTGGGGCTGCTGGGGGGCTGGCTGTGGCCGGCTTCGAGTGGAACGTAAGGGGCTCAACTGTTGCTCAGCTCTGGCCTGGGGGTGTCCTCGGGGTGGGTGGGTTGGGGTTCACCCCCCTGCCTGGCTAGCAAGGGGGGTGGACCTGGCTGGGGATGACTGCCAGCCTCGCCGCCTTCTGCTGATGGCCTCTGTCTGGTTCTCGGCCTCATTTAGGCCACCTACGTGCTGCTGGCCTTGGCCTGGCTCTTCGTTCCCGTCTACCTTTCGTCAGAGGTGAGTGTGAGCCGGCTCTCTCTCAACCCTCCCCCCTCCCGGTGCTGCATGCAAGGGTCTCCTTGGGGCTTGCTCTTTCCCCATTGAGCTCAATCCAGGCTTGCTGAGCCAGAGTCTGACAAAGAAGCCACACTTGATGGGTGGACACACAGCTCGCTGCTTTGCAGATCTTGAGGGACAGGTTCACAGAACACGGCAACTCCACAACCAAACAAACCATCACAGTGGTGGGTCCATCTGGCACTAGGTTGTCCATCCGAAGCAATTCCTCCTTCCTCTCTTCCCCCAGATCGTCACCATGCCGGAGTATCTCCAGAGACGCTTTGGAGGGGAGCGAATTCGGGTCTGCCTGTCTTTCTTGTCACTCCTCCTCTCCATCTTCACCAAGATATCTGTGAGTGGCCCCCTTTCCTCTGCATCTCTCGGCCTTTTTTTTAGCCTGACTGGGGTGATGGGCAGCCAAGTGGAGTTAAAGCATGCCAAATTGTAGAGCTTCCTTCCTTCCTTCCTTCCTTCCTTCCTTCCTTCCTTCCTTCCTTCCTTCCTTCCTTCCATCCATCCATCCATCCATCCATCCATCCTTTCTTCCTTCCCTGGTTCCTGGGGCTGCACTCATGCCTTTATCCAGCAGGGGGCGCTGTTGACCACCACATTCCCACCAGCCATCCACTCAGCCATCCTTCACCTGGATGGTTTCCTACTTCCCAACTCTTTGACAACCAAGTTTCCCTGCCCCCCCACAACACCCCCAACTTTTCTGCAGTTAAGTCTCCATGTTCCAAAAGTCTGTTCCAAGCATGTCCCGTCCCTCTGGGCCAAAGCGCCCAGATGCAAACATAGCTTCATGTTTTCTTTGAGGCCTCCTTTAAAAATGTCTGTCCTGCACAGAGTTTATGTTGACTCTAATATGTTGGAAAGGATTTTGTTTCTTCTTTGAAAAGACAGAGTGGTACCGATGGCTGCTGGCTACAGCAGACACACCCCCCCTTCTGTAGCAGTCTGTCTTTCTAGGTGGATTTTTTGGGAAAGAGGGAGGAGGG